GCGGTAGTTTGATCATTGCTGACCATAAAGCAGGTTGTAAGAACAATACAATTTTGTTATTGGCAGCATTTTTCAAGCCTATTGCTTGGGTTTAAAAAATAGGCATACTTAGATAAAATGTTTGTTAATCATCCAAAAATATCCTTTTGATTTTTTGGGTTTGGAAACCAGAATAGTGAAATTCAGGGGAAATAGTGCTGTTACGTTAAGACTGATTCCCTACAGGTGATTGTAAACATTCCTTAGATATAATAGGTTGTTATTCCTACTGCACAGTATAGGCCTACTCTAGCACTGTCAGACTGGTCTTAAGCTAGAGAGGAGACTAAACTCAATTCCATGTTAATCGTGCAGTACATGCCTTATGGGAGATAGTCGTGCTATTCACATTACTGGAAACATCATGTTTTTTGTTGTACAAGCTTTGTTAATTACTGTCCTCGTTACCCACATGAAGGCACAAAAGTACATTTAATGTATAGATTGAATTTGTTTAAATATTGATAATTTTTCTCTGGCAAAGTCAATATGCCACCTTAGCAGCTTGTTTGGTAAGCTGTTAGCTTAGTCTAGCAGTGAAAAAGGTAAAAAAATTGTAAAAATATGCCAAGCTTCCTGTGGGTCCTGATGTTTGTTGGACGGCTAGGTTCAGTGAAACGCCAATTTGAAATACAAGGCTTATGGACACTCTGTACTGCACGGTGAACGTTGAATGGAGTATAGCTGAGGAACTTTTAGACCATCTATAGTAAGTGAAAGCACTTAGTGATTACTCTACTACTTAATTTCCCTACTTCTTTAAAATATGTTGGCATATGATGTAGATTTGTCAGAACATTTGATAAGTTGTTCAGTTTGTTTTGTTACGATTTATATGTTAACAATCATAACTCTTGTTTATTATGGTTACTATAATTTATTATGATCATTCCTATCAAGTATTCCATTTTCAGACCCCTTGTTCCTACTAAAGTCAAACCAAATAGATCAAGCCTTTGTATTACTGACCGCTAACTATAAATTAACCATCAGTTCTATTGGTTTTGATTATTGGCTTTTCTTTCATATTTTAAGATTGATGAATCACACCCTAGCAAATTGTATTTTAAGCTGCTTACACTACTTGTATAACATAAAATGAACAGACATTGGGACAATTATGTAAAATATGATGGCTGTTGTGTCCAGCTAATAGACGCGAGACAACTGCTCTTAATTTAGTTTTCTGTCAACTTTGAGTCTTCCATTTAATCCCAAAATTACTTTCAAAATGTAAAAAAATCTTTGACTGTTGTAACTAATGTATTAACTGTGACTGTTAAAACTTATTTTGTCAAACCAATAGCATCATACATCGATTCATACACACTGCAATGATTATTTTAAAGAGTTTACCTGGTTCAAGTTGTCATTCTTTGTAGGTGTTCAATTTTTCATACAGTAAGTTTTGTTATTACATGTATGCAGGCTCACGTTTTCCCAAACAACCTACTTGCACATGTGTACAATGTGATATATAAAAATTAATATTGTGATTTAGTTTCTACATTGGTATGCTTTCAATTATTTCTTACTTCACTGCTTAATCAAGCTAGAGCCAAGTTAAGATCAAATAATTCACAATTAATTATTAAGCTAATTTCATATTGACTGTTATATTAACGGCTACAAAATAAGTTATTATGTAGTAATATTAAGTGAGCACACAAGAGTTATCAGTAATAATCGGGATGTTAGTTAGCTGTTATCATCACACTCTTTGGATATGGCATAATTTAATTTTCATAACTTAAGTTTCATAACTCCGAGCATTAATTTGTCCGGGGTGGGCATATGAGCCTTGGGACTAGAAAGATAACGTGTCCCAGTTCTTTAAAGTGTCGCTGTGTGTAATCCCACACTTGTATTTGACTGGGAAGCGTTACTATACCCACCATACACCCCACTAATTGTAATTCTAGTCCTCCATCTCGTGTACAGGGTTAAAATGCGGTAATGATTTTTCATTCCAAGTGTAAAGATTTCTAAGCAAACTAAAAAATACAGTTATATATTAATTCTGAGTGACCATCTTTCCGATAAACATCAATTTTAGTTTTTCCAAAAGAAATAGTTTTCAACAATTGACTACGGTACGTAAATATGTCTAAGCCTTCACGATTCCCTGGTAGGTACTTTACTTACTTTATACTTTTCATTGAAATGGCGACCATACAAAGTAGGGGTAGGCCTACAGTGTGAATTGAAATTAAGGTTTAAACGTTTACTATTTGACTGCTAAAAACACTGTCTGTTTAAAAATATTAAAAATAGATTGTTCAATTAATAATTTTGTAGAATGTCTGTGTAACTGCAGCCAGCCTTCTAAGTGAAAATTTATAGATTTTGATTATTAAAACATAACTTGTTTTACCAAAAAGTACCTCTAAAAAAAGGTGGGCAACTGCTCCATTGCAGTGTATGAGTGAAAATTTAAAAACGTACGTTTTCAGGAAAAGCACTTTGCAAATTTTTTTCCCCTTTTTTCAAAACTTTTATTATTTTTTTTATTTCATTAACATTTGAAGTTTTATAAAATGTCCATGGTAACGCAATATCTTTGGTAGTTTCTTTTTAAAAGAGCATCTTTAGTGGAAAAACACAAAATCCTGTCACGACCATAACGGACGTTTAAATGAATATTAAAAATAGTTAGTATTATTTTTATAGATATGTTTTGCTATAAACTAATTTACTTTTATGACCACTATACAATAAAAAGGTCACTGAGCTTTTGGTATATTTAGTCTTTCTAAAAAAAAATAAAAAAACTCAAAAAATTGAAAAAAAGCCAATAAAATCTTTTTAAGTTTGTATAACTCCGAAAAAACTTACCTGAGACCCGAAAAATCGTTATGTTTGTATAGAGGTGTGCTTCTTTTGTGTATAAAACATTGAAATATGACGATATTTTAATTTTTGAAATTTTTATGATAGAAATCATAAACGTGATGGTCAGGGACAAGCGGTACGGTCGTGAATTGTCTGGAATAATCTAAATCTTTCTAAACAATCCTTCAATTATCCTGTTAGTTATAATAAAAATATGTGTTTCAATTGCACTAAACTGTTCAATTTACAATTATATTAAAGTTCTTGTCACGACCAAACACACTATAATCCATAAGGCTGGATTGGTCGTGAAAAAACCCGCGATGGTCGTGAAACTTTGGTCGTGAAATTACGTGTTATTTGGCTCTGTTCTAGTGGTAGCCCTGCACCTCATGTTCGAGGATACAAAGTGGACTTCTAGGTTAATCTAGCAATTGAAATAACTTATAAACAAAAATTAACACCATGTCTACTTCATCGAATGACTACGTACGGTCATGGACACACCAAAATTACAAAAAACACAATCTTTCCTTAATTAATCTTGTAATTCCTCCTTTCAACTCGAAACGACCGGCACTACAATCCTGACGTACACCCCGAACTAGTCTCTAAAACCAACTGACTCCATCGACGCCAGGCTTGCCACTGTCGTGCTCCAAAGTTGAAAATTTTTCCCAAATGGTCGTGACGCCAAATCGAGGGACAGACTTATTTTGTCATGGTAGTCAGTTTGTGATGACAATAAAATTATAATATGCTCCTTTTTTGTAAGTTTAATAACCATTGATGACATAAAAATATGGCTTTATATATTTCGGCATGAATAATTAGTCTAAAAACAGCGTGAAAGTTGGAAAATGTACCCTAGGGACACGTCATGGTCGTGAATTTCGAGACTTTAAAAATACGAAAAAAATACCTAGAACCTATTTAAAACCAAATAAATGTGTGTAACATGTTGCCCCCGTCCCAAAAAATATTAAAACACATAATAATAAACTACAAATCCAGTATCTACGAAGTAAAAGGCCAGGGACATGAAAACGTACGTTTTTAAATTTTCACTCGTATATTCCCATTGCTGTGCCTGTTTGGAATTGTGATTACTTGGGGTAATTTAGCTCACAATGTTGGTAGATTTTTCCAGAATTTGCTCTTTTGAGGGTTTGAAAATGCATTTAAATCTAGATGTTCTGATCACTTAGAATTAGATTTTTAAAATCAAAATAACTTTAAAATGTAAAATACTTTGGAACTGTAGACAGTCCCTATAACTTTTGGGTATGTCTTGTTACATGTCGATCAAATACTCATTTTTGTGGTGTCCGTAACTAGTAATCACATAATTTATTGTTGTTTATAAATTAGTTTTTTATTAACTTTATACACACTTTTTTGTAAACATGTTTAGTTGAAAGTTGATATTAAAAATAATATTTTACATTATGTTTCTTAATACCCTTTATCCAACCCATATGCAATTGTAAGGAGTAAAAACGTTTTTGTAACGAGACACTGTATTAGCTTAACCAAAAATTATGGACTATCTTTTAGTAACACATATTACCAAGCCATCACACATCATAGAATCTGGTGGTTAGACTAGTCATTTGACAGAAATCACATTTTCAACCATTAGCAACTCACCTGTTCCTTTGCAGCTAGACATGAAAAAGCAATATAGAAGATTTTCCAAAGTTACAATTAACTGTTGAAAGGCTGGTTTGGTAATCCATACAGACATATTGATTTGATATAAACAGGAATTGTACTGTGTTCTAAATTCTTGTGTAATAAGTTTTTCTTGGGCAAACAAGGTACTGTATTGCTAAAAAAGTGAAAATGTTTACCTTGTAGATCAGCAAGCACATAATGTGCAGATCCATCAATTATAGTTAGAGGGCTGGTTAACGATTCTGGTCAACCCATAGCCCAAGCTGCAGGATAGGTCAAGTATAGCTTTTACGTTTGTTAATAGTTTAGTAACCATGAGAAGGTATTATATTTTAAATTAAAATAGTCAACCAAGCTTGGTCGTAAACATTACTATTAATTTTCCAATTTAAGTTCAAGGATAGTTCCTCTTTATTCACGAAGATTATAGTGGGCTAGTGGGCTTCACTCACCTTTATTTTTGTCTATGATGTCCAGGACTCGTCAAAACACATATAAGCGTACACACAACACGAAATCGTCCATGGCATCAAAAGTCCGACGTTTCACAGAACTCAAAAAAGGTTCCGCTTCCTCAGAGTTTAAAAATACTATTTTTATCCCGCTTGCGGGTCGAACGTCTGACCACGACTGCCGGATCAGCTGAGCTTGGAGGACGGGTGGGGGTAGGTGCATTGTTCATTGTTGATAAGCCATGCACGCTCCTGGCCTTATCTCGTAGTTGCTCTAGTTTGTATTTAACAACGTTTAAATACACTGTACTGACATCCACCGATGGTCGTGAAAGTGGCTCCTCCTCTATCGCCATGAAAAGCAACTCTGCCGTATTTTGTTTCCTCCAATCAGACTCCTTATAAAGAATTGCAGATGAACCCCAATCAACAATATGATTCATTTCTAAAACGTGATCGCATATCTTAGAGCCATACTTATCCTTGTTTTAACTTTTTTTATGTGCTCGTTTATTGTTATTCACACTTTAACTGGTCTAGAAGTGGGCCACATAATTTCTGCCACAAGAACATAGGATTTGTAGACAAAATGTTTTGTATTTTGTTGCTCATTAACAGGTTTTAGTTTTGTGACATGACTACGAATGGTGTAGAAACAGAACTAGTTCCTCTTTGTTGGATACTGTGGCAAATTATTCCCCTAAGAGTAATTCTATAGAAAAAAGCTCTGTACTCCTTGTAGAAAATTGCACATTTAGAGAATAGGCCATAGATCTAGGACCAACCCAATTTACTTTTTGTTTTAACACGTTCACTGCAGGCCACTTACCGGTGATTGCTCTAGTTCCTTTCTCTCACCCTGAACGCTCACCCGTGAGTGGCGACTTCGCCTACATTCCATTCAATTACTGCGCCTGAGCACACCGGAAAGAACGGGTATTTTTATGTCTGTGTTTAGCTAGGAATGGGTGCTTTATTGTGGTGTAGGTTGGTAGTAAATTACCCCGTAAAATCTTCTGTCAAGCTTAGAAATCAACTTGTTATCCCGTCTTTCTCCCTCCAATTGGCAATACAATGGGACCGGCTAGAAAGAGTAAGACCATGAGAAAGATAAAAACGTGGGTTTAAGTTCGGGCTTCGTGGAGGCCAACGTAAGAGATGCAGATTGTTGTCATCAACACGGCCAATCCAGTACTGTGATAGACATAGATTGTGTAAAATTGATGAGCAAAGTTGTTTAAATCTTTTATGTTCACCCGGTATTCATGTGTGTGTGTCCGTGAGGACAATAACTCGAGCGAAAATCATCCGATTTTGATGAACTTTGGTACAAATGTGTAAACCTACATTACATTATTAAAATTGAATTCAGGGCCGTATTTCCCTAACAGCGGACAGGGCGGTTGCCGGGGGCCTCAGCCTAGGAGGGGGCCTCAAATATTTTTTCTTGATCAATTTATTTTCCTTAAAATGGTTTACAATACCTGCATATAGTAATCCTTTGTTGCTGATTTTGGCAACTAGTTTCGGTTCGTTATTGAACCATCTTCAGGCCTCAAGGTGTCAAATAATCACTTCATTCGAAGGTCGTTAATAACAGAGTTAAATAAATAAGAGATATACAAAACACGATACACGGAACGGACACACATTACAAAAAACACGAAGGGACATTGACAATCGATCGTGACCGGGCTGAGGTAAAGTCTAGACTAGCGGTCAAAGTGGTCTATGACGTTGTCTCTGTCTTCTTATCACCGGTGCTTGTTCATTCATTCATTGTTCCCCTCCAGTATCCTAATAGCTGTATTGTAAATATAGTTGGATTGAAAGGAGAGTTTATCGTTCAAAACGTTTTGATGGTCAGCTTTAACTGCTGGCCAATGTAATATTTCGTGCAGTCATTACAATTTATTTTGTAGACTCCAGACTTATCGTAGATGGTTGAATTAATTTATATTTTTTCTTTCAATAGAGATCCACGTTTATTGTTAGTCTTGAATGATACGGTGAATTTATTTTTGTCCATGATATTTTTAAATGTGCTACTGATTTCTGATTTCTGATATGTGAACCATAAATTGCTGAAATATACGTTTTCTTTTCTGTTGATTTAGTTTGAGGTTTATTTAAATGTTTAAAAATCAGTTTGTCCACTAGACTGGAGTGAAAGCCATTTGCGACTGCTATGTATTTATCGTGTTTATTTCTTTATCATAATCATTCTGATTCATCGGTATTGATAACAATCTATGGATAAAACTGTTGTAGGCGGCGATTTTTTGAGAGTGTGGGTGGTGAATCATTTATGTTCTGGTCGGTGCAAGTAGGCTTCCTGTAAATTTTAAATTCGAAATGATGGTTTTGTTTCTTAATTGTAAGGTCTAGAAAATTAAATACTTGGTTTTTTTCCTCCTCTAGAAGACATCGATGTCTTCGTTTTTGTAACCCTGACGATGCCGTATTTACGGGGAAACATGTAGGTTGTTAACCTCAATCAACATTTGGATTACTTGACGAGGTATTGTACCATTATTATAGTCATATAAAGTAGTCCAGGGGCCATCAACATGGAACTTGATGATTTGCCGCGGGAAATATTCATGATTTTGCCGCTATCGCGAAACTCGACGATCACGTTTTTGAGACCACAGGGGACGATGATAATGTCTACACGGTTCAGATGTTCATGATTTTGCCGCTATCACGCAAAACAGTGATCACGTTTTCGAAACCGATGGAAACGATGATGACGTTTACACGGCCGCAGGAGATATTCATGATTTTGCCGCTATCGCAAAACTTTGACGATCACGTTTTTGTGATCGCAGGAGACGATTATGATGTCTTCACGGCCGCAAGAGATGTTCATGATTTTGCCACCATCGCGCCAGAAATGACTGGGGTCATTTTCAGCGTGCCACGCTCAGGACTCACACCGTACAGATGGCAGGAAAACTTAAGTCCGGCGTGATCGTTCGTGCTTGGAAACCGCACCCATATAAAAACATGGCTTCAATTTAAACTTGATTACGTAATCACGCTTGTCCACGCTCACGCTGTCCGCCCGGCGTGATCTTAGAAACCGTAGCTTAAAGCATGAAATTTTGCAATTTCTTTTCAAACTACAGAACTTAAAAAAACAAATAATTTTGTACAGCGAAGCGTTGTTGTAGGCATAATGGTTGCAATGAAAATTCCATAAAACTTAAAGTTTAAAATTCTCATGTTATTCTTATGGAAAATAAATAAACTGTTGTAGTTTGCCTGTTAAGGATTTATTTTGATTAAATTTGTTTATATCATACCAAGCTACTAACATTTCAATGAAAAAATGTTGTTTCCCTGTTGCAGCAAACCTAACTAGGTACTAATTAAAATTAATGTTATCTAAACTAGCTGTTACCCACGGGCTTTACCCGTTTGACTTCATAATTATTAATAAAACCGCATTGATTGGTTAACTTAAGCTGAAATAAACAAAGCAGAATACAGTAATAAACAAATAATCACACCTGATTTTAATCTTACTAATATTATAAATGTGAAAGTTTGTGTGTTTGTTTGTTTGTGTGTTTGAAGTTCAATCACGCATAAACCACTGGACGGATTGGGCTGAAATTCGGCATGATGATAGCTTACATTCCCGATTAACATATAGGCATATTCTTATCTCAAAAATCCTTTCGGGCTCCGCCCCAGTGGCTCTGTAATTCCCCATGTTAACCTTATGAGTATTTATATTTAAAGGGAATTAAAGAATTTAGTCAGCTGTTTCAACTAAAAAAGTTGGTTCTATGATATGGAAAAGCATTAAAAAGTTATAAGATTTACCAACAGGGTGCAGCACTATATTTTTTTGCATTTATGAAAACAGCTAATTTGAACTAAGCAACAACAAAAAAACTGTGATTCGCAATGAGAACTGTCAAAGTAGGATTGTTTACAGTTATGTTTATGTTTTTCATTTAATGAATAATTTGTGATATTTTGCGAATTGTTGATAATTTATTTTTCTCTATTGTTTAGGTGAAGTGGTAGAACATTATGGCTATGGTAGATGTGTAATACTAAGGAATACTGTAAATTTAAAAAAAGAAAATTTTATCAAACTGTGTCCTCCCTTATTGCAAACGCAAAGCTTGAGTATAACTGCAATAAGCATTTTATACTTATATTCCAACCCCGTACTCTGCTAGTAAGGTAATAAATTAAAAGAATAACATACAAATAAGTACAGCTGAGGTATTTTTAACATAAAGTATATGGAAAGTTCCCTTTAGAAAGGAATTACGACCTTAAAGGGCAATTTATGAAATAATCGATAGTTTTTTGTGCAAGGTTTATCGTCATGCCGAACATTTTAAGTATATGGTTTATGGGAATGTGACTTGTAGTTTTCTCAAAAGTGCATGGGTCCTTTGGGATTCATACATGGATAGAAAATATATCTGACACTTTTAAGGGAATATGTTTGCTAAATGGAAATTCGGATAGTCTGCAGGTTTGCAATCACTAAACTCATTAAAGAAATATATTTAATCTAATTACTTCCAACATCCGTTTCAATAAGAACAATACCCAGGTCCATTGGCAGGCTGGGCTCCGACTCCTCTCCTCTTCATACGACAAACGTGTTCATTGAGTCTTGGAGCTGCAATCTCGATGTTATTGATCTGTACAGCCATGAGAACAGGTTCAAGAATAGGTAATCCTAACAATGGGCTCTAAAAATCAGATATTTGAACAAAGAGAGCCCTATTGGCGAATGAATTAGTGAAGGACTATTCATAATGTTGTCTTACGATGTATAACTTCTTTAATTAAATACGTTGATGTATTGCAAAGGCTACAGTATTTTACTGTAAAGGGATCTTCACTAGATGAAGATACAAAGTCTGAACTACAGTGTGTATACTTTTACCTAACCCGCCATGTTAAACTTCCCTATCCCAAGCGTGATGTATATAACTTCGTTACTTCTCGAGTGATGTAAAGTTGAAAAAAACTCACTCAGTGATGTAATGAAACCCATTTAAATAACATTGAGTGCTTAACTTAAAAAATATACCTCTATGGAGCCAACGACGTTCAACGCTAGAAATCAGCTATGCGCTTGAATTTTATTGTTATGTTTTGAAGAATTTTCCTAACCTAGCTTTTGTTTGTAAATGAACGTTACTGTTAGAAGATGAGTGAAATGGATAATGAAAAATATTGTTCGTAACCTCCTGTATATTGTCGGGTCAGGTAAAATCTTGTACGTTACACGTTACGCAAGAGCGTGTTTACATCACTTCGGTAAATTATGCAACTCGCTTCCGCTCGTTGACCTGCGTGATGTAAAAACGCTCTTACTACACTTGTAAGGTAAATAGCTATTACAAGGGCTGAAAATAAACAAATATTTGTTTCTAATATGTGTGTCACACCTCTACTGGGAATTTTATTTTTATTTTTTCAAGTAGCTACTACAGTCTTGTATCTTTTTTCCTACCGTTTGATAATACTGAATGTATTTCATCTTTACTACCCATTACCCCCCCCCCCCCCCCATTCCCTAAGACGCTAGACACGAACCTGGGATTGTTTTTCATATTATTTCAAGTAAAGCTAGACCTAGGGGTTGTGGCAATATCACTTGGTTAAAATGCATTGGTTATTTTTGGCGGGATTTGAACCCGGGACTGAAGTCCTGCGCTCTAACCACTAGACCAGCTCACTCCCGAATAATAATGAAAACCTAGCAGTAAATAGGCTACTAACCAAGATTTACCTCATTCAACAGCAGATGAGTAATCAAAGTGATTCCATTGAAAACAACACGAGCTCAAGTTTTAAATACACATACAAGGCCAATCTGATGAACTATTTTTTTAATACTGCACCATTTTGTAAACTACTGATTTGCAAACCTCGTATTTAGGCCTAGTGTACTTTTATGGCTCTGCTCCTATTTTAATGAAACTGCTATAAAAGTTTAAAGTAAGTTAAATGATTAGGCTACTCCGTCAACGCATAGAAAAAAAATTGTAATGACTGAAAGTTTATTACATTCATCGATAAAGATGTATTTATTGTTGTGAAATGTACAATGAAATTTTATAGCAAACACAAATAAATTTGAACAGTTATTCAATCATGTATACAGTATATCAATGGGAGCCATCATTTCATTCAGCAAAACTAGCGGACGAGAGAACAATTTACAGGAGATTATTCGAGTCCAGCTAATTCATTGGTACCCAGAGAATAAAAAGAACTTATTTACACTGCTGCTTTTGCTAGTATGACAAAAAATAGGCTATATATTTTCTCCAGGACTAGAAGTACCTCATGATATACCTTTTCTGAGGACCAGAGACGCTCGGCCACTGCGCTTGCTCGGGGCCAAATCCTAGGAACAATGTTGGTTTCGTCCACCATCTCTCCCCACATGCAGGCCTCACCCCCTACCACAAGTTCTTTTTGATGCTGAGTTCCATTGAAGTCTGTTGGGTCCACTTGATAGAAGGTTTGCCATTGATCATTGATATGGTCCAGATACCAACCCTGGGATAGCAGGGCTTGCAGACCATTGTCTGTCACCTGTTGATATCCAAGTGTTGATTAGTTTACCAACAGTCTTGTCAGCTCCTGAACCACATATCCTGGACAGTGACAAAACTTTATATCTTACAACAATTATTTATTTTTCTTTCACTAGTTTAAAAAGTTATTATTTTTAAATTCACCTTGAACACGGCATGGTATAAATTTCCATATTTTATCATCTCGTATATTGATTCTATTAACAGCTTGAAATGTGTTCGAACGCAGCTGTTTTGTTTACAACTATACTAGTAATAGTCTAAAATATAATAATCTATCTATATATTAATAGGCAAGCATGTTTCTTTAAAACCTTTTGTTCTCAGCTCGTGTGCATCGCAGGGAAAATCTACGCATACTGTTGGAAAGAATTTACCTGTAGATGTGCAGGATCCCTTTATAAATTAAAATAGGCTAAAATAAGCACAAAAAATGAATCTAAAATTTTGAAAAAATTAACATGGATCTTATGGGTTGCCATGCCATGCCATTCGGTGATGAAATAACAACGAAATATAAACAGAAAATCAAAACAAATTGAAGAAACTCCAATCACATGTTTTATTCACAGTGTGGGATGAAAATAAAGAAGTCTGTACATTAAATATTTTTGGTCGAGTTTCGACCACTGGACGACCTCTAGTTATTATTAAATAGTAGGAAATAATATCACAACTGGAAAAAATTCTGTTCCATAAAAAATTATGTCTGTGGTTGAGCTTAGATTTCAAACAAGGCCCAGTAAAACTTGACAATTTCCGGACCTTACCAAAATGCCCCAAACAATTGAGAAAATCTGAGTAACAAAAATGTCTACATCTGCAGTGAGTTAGCCAAGAAAACTTAGTATTTTATGTTTTAGCTCAAATAGTAATCTTCAAAACCTCTGTTTATTTTTGTTGCCAAATATTTCAAAAGATATAACTAACCGCTTGAAGTAATTCGGTCCTATTGCCATTCCATATGTGGACTAATGTGTTCTTAGACAGATTGGCATTATGAACAAACACTTCTTGCCAGACGATGCCATTGATTCCAATTTGGTCTAGAATATTAATTATTTCCTTGATATAGTAACCTTCCAGCTCTTCATAGGTGGTAAGATTTTTTTCCTTCATAAATTTCTGAACAGCGGGATTTGATTTCCTACAAAATATGAGTGTTTGAAATCTCAAAAATATGCATCCTATATTTTTGATATTTCAATAACTTTACTGGTACTCTCAAGTGGTATTCACAATCAAGTGTAAATACCCCCGCCGCAGCAAACCTTCAGACTAAGCGAATTTTAACTTGTCTGATTACATTTTTACTCAAATATTTCTATAAATAAGACATACTTATTCCCAATTTAAATAACATTAGATTTAACGAGTGCTTAGGTTTGCTGCTACAGGGAAGGTAAAAAGTGTTTTTTGATGATACGTCAATAGTATAAGATGAAATTAATGAATTTGCCAAATTTAATCAATATATATCCATAAACAAGTAAACTACAACAGTTTTAATTTTCTCCATAAGAATAACATGGGAATTTTAAATTACACTATTTTTGAATTTTCTCCGTGATCGTTAGCATAGATTACACATACTCCCTTAGTAGATTTCTCATCCTAATGGAACAGCTGAAGACAATTTTATTGTTAGTTCTGTACGGTTTATGTAGAGGTCGTGTTTTGTTTAAAATTTGTTTCCCGTTAATACAGTCATTTAAAACCTCGTTTAACCAAATAATACGATCTAATCATAAACAATAAATTGTCCCCTAGTTATTTAACCAAACAGTAAAGCACAAATCAAGAAATTAACCCTAAAATAATAGAAACAAAATTTCGTCGACACTAGCGCCCAGTGTGGCGTACATGAACTAGACATGAAAAACGAGCTTCAAAATTTACAATGGGATGAGAAGTCTACTTGTGTTGGTTAGTCTATGCCGTTAGGCATACAACACAGAGCTTAAATATACTAAATTATTTCTTTTCTTAAGCTCTACAAAACGGTTTAAAAATAAATTGCAAAATCTTTTGTTTTTAGGGTCAAAATGGGAAAAACCCATTTTTACCCCATAAAACCCCCCATAAACCTCCGTTCCCATAAACCTCCGTTCCCATAAACCTCCGATTATGCTGGTTCGCAAACTTGTTCGAATAAACGTAGGTTTACACGTTTGTAGCAAATTTCATCAAAATCGGATCATTTTTGCTAGAGTTATCGTACTAACAGACATATAACTTATATATATATGAATTTGAACGGATGGTATTTTTGGCCTTTAGGGACCTCAAAACGAAAAATAAAATCAGTCCTGGGTCCAGGTCTTACTATGAGTACTGCGGTAATAGATTATTCCCTGTATGGAAAATTCGCTAAAAAGGCTGTTTTCCTACAATGTGTTTATACAAAGACTCTATGGTTTAGAATTTGAATGGAAAAAAATTTGCAAGTCTGATATAAGATATTGTCAATTAAATAGGTAACATTTGTTACAGTCAAATTTTATTATTAATTAAATTGAATTGTCAAGCAAATACGAGCTTATAGTTTACAAGATGGTTTTGACGATACGTTCCAAAGTTGTTTGTATAACCTGCTGCAAGTCATCCTGAATTAATATCCAATATTTTGTAACAAAGTATTATGATTATAAATATGCAAACGTAATCCGGAGGCTAACAACTCTTGGAAATGATATTATATGATTATGTTTATAATAATTTTCATGTAGGTAATTTAGTTCTAGGTAAACTTACTTGATTTATTTTAAAAACATAAAATGTAGTTTGTTAAAAATAATTCCTTTTAATATTTTCTTGCTTAGCACAACACTTTTTAGCAACAATAAAGATGTCAACAAAAACTAAAATAAATAAAATTTTAAATGTTGAAAAGTAGATTAAAAAAGATAATACTGTTTTACCAGCAGGTATAATCGACTTCGTCTCCTCCTATGTGGATATATCTGGATGGGAAAACGTTTTTTACTTCTGTAAGTAAAGATGCCATAAATTTATAGTTTTCTTGTCTGCTGGGATCAACTGGTCCAAAATTACCGTCAAATGATCCATTAACATAACATGCTGTTAAAAGCTTGCTTGTTCCTTTCCCCCATGATTGTGTGTGACCTGTAACATCAAATAATGTAGCGTATCATAGATGAAACACATTGCTTTGGTTCAGCAGAAGAACATTTTAAATATGTCCACCCAGTTGAGTGTATTGATGTCTTTAATATATTTTCAGTTATTTTACTATCATTAAAATTATTATGACTAAATCATCTACCTTATTAGTAAGCTATCACTAATTGTCCTTTGATATTATAACTTAGTAAAAGCATTAAGTGCTCAATCTAAAATTTATCCTCAAATAAAGAGAAACTTTGGAGTCAATATCAACACTCCAAACTTGAGATTTTACAATTTAATTTTAAGTCTACTGGCAATATCAAGAGCAAATCATTTAATTTAATTAATACTAGCTATTAGCCTGTCCTACGTACAGGAATCAAAGGTCGATTAAAACTGAATGTAATTCAAAACTGCTAGCTTACAGGTAAAGTTATTTTTTATTTACAGCACATAATACACAGCAGTAACAAGTTTCATAAAAATACAGTTAAAAATTCAAAGATGATCAAAAAATTTAAGTTTTATAACAAATAAATGCTTTAAATACCTTTATAATGAGTCTTCTTCATTTGAAATGATGAAATGAATTAAATAACCAAGTAATTCAGTATGTTAAATAGAACTATTTCCAAAACCATTTTTCATTACAACATGTTAGTTTGAAATAACTGACTAGATTTTTATTTAATTGCTAAACTTGCTATACAGTGTAAGCTACATTAGGAAGGAATCTATTCACTTGAAAATATATAATAAACCAAATCCTGTATTGCAGACTCTCACTAATCCAGATCCAAAAATTTTAACAGACAAAAGTTAAGAAATTTATGCAACAATCTGTAAAACTAACTCCTTATTTCACATCTTTAAATTTGTAGTCTTGTGTAAATGGCATGCCTCTATATCATTTGTTGACACACTGTTTCACTTTTTTGGTCTTAAAACTTTGGTAAACATCAGGTGCTGGTGAACATTATTTACGGGTACAGTAGGTACCCGTAAATAATGTACACCTGATGTACAGTAGGTACTTTGTTACAGTATCATGTGCATTACACTACAGTGCTCTGAAGTAGTACGTATATATATATATACGTACTGCTATAGTTATAGCATATGTAGTATAACTATAGCTATACTAACTATAGTTCATTAAGGTGCTACATCCAATAGTCAATGGTGCTACGGTATCCAGTTAGATGTAAAGGTTAACCTTACCTGGGGAATCAAACTCAGGAAGAACTCTGATTCCTCGCATTCTAGCAAAAGATATTATTTTCTTAATCACTTCTTGTGAGTAAATTGCCTTCTTGGAATCATATGCACCATTATCACTAAAAGCAAGATCTATAATATTACTCTATTTCACAACTTAATCAGCATTTATTTGACGTATTATAACTTTTTTCACCGCATAAAATACTTAGTGATCGCAAATTGCTGGGTGGCTGAGCAATTGATGACAGTGCTTGCCTACTCATCAGAAGGTTGCTGGTTAGGTCCTCAGAAAAGTCACTAGTTTTTATGTTTCAATGCTAGACTCATCTGTAACTAAGCTTTTAATTCATGGTTTTGGCTAATGATAGAAATACCTGGTCTCAGTGAGTCCACATTGCATCTCACTCCACTCTAGATTCATCCTTCATAAGCTTCCTTCATATCCTACATATACATTTATCCTTCACTCACTACTTGGGTTAAAATGCACCCAGTTGTGTCTCATACACCATACTACCTTAATTGGTAATACTATTTTATGGTAACATGTCTAGTACTGGTACTGTCATGGAAAATATTGCCTGATCGAGTCATTTACTGTTGATTATTATATACAAAAATAACCAAATGTTAATGCAACGTCACATCCATTTTTATATATAGACCTACAGATAGATAGCCATAGTGATAAATTTATCAAAAAAGTTTGTTGAAAACTTTTACTTGCTAAGCGATTAAACGTTAACTCATAATATCATTAATTTCTCACGTAAGGTCTAAGGTGGTTTTTTTTTATTGTACTGTAATGAGATATTTAGATTACCTTAGGTTAGGGAATGTGGTACTCTGATAAGGGAAACTCTGATCATCAACAATGTGCCAGTGGAATACATTCATTTTGTTCATCTCCATGCCAGAGAGGATATTGAGTATCACACTGACAGGCAGATAATGTCGTGAAGTGTCCAGCAACAGTCCTCGGTGACTAAATCGGGGATAGTCCAATATATCCGTGTGATTTACCACCTAATTTACAAAGTTTCATTATTATTACATGATAAATCTATTAAAAACCTACACATCAGTTTACATTAAATTCATATAATTTACTGCTTATATTACAGTATTGTCGCGATCATCCCACCTGCGGATAGCTCGGCTGTGTAAGTTTGAATAACAGAAAAAACTCATTGTAAACATGTGAAAAATAATAAAATAAATAAAGTTTCTCTGTTAAACCTGTAACAAAGGCATCAAGTTTGTCTTTCATTGATAATACTAAAATTCAGAAATTACATTAAAATATAACCAAGAAAAAAACACCATTACACTAAAAAAAATAAAAAAAGTAAATGTCAACCTCCCAGCTCTCCTTTAGATCTTAGACTTAAACATGAGAAGTAGCAGAGAGGTATGGGTCATACGGGTATGAGGAGTGTATATTCTGGCCGAGTAAAGACAGATAAGGCATAAGGCGTTGTCTTAGCATACCCTCTACAAGGAAATATGTAGCATCCGTTTTACAGTACTCAAATGTCCCAATGTCCGCAGGTAGGGCTAATTTTATGTTTATAATTTTATAATGTTCAATAATAGGTATAAAATAAACATACTGCGCTCAACATACCAAGCAGCCTTGTTGTTTGGATGGTACTAACATTTGAGAAAACGTCTCCAATCCTCTCAAGATTCCCCACACAGAGCCACTCTTCAGAACAGCTGACTCAGCATTCACATGAAGTTCATCTGGAGTTTAGAGTAAGAGTGAGATACTGATTTATGTTTTGAGTGGCTTTTAAAGGAGTTGTTTCAATGTAGTACTGCCAGAGTTTCGGGTGTAACAATTAAGTGCTAGCAGTTCTTAATTGCTAAATTATTAATTTTTTTGTTGCTAATTTATTTTATAAATTATTATTAATTGTTTCTAATTACCATTAGAGTACTACACTTTTATTATACTGTAGGTTTTTAATGCACTTGGGAAGGCAATGAAACATTCGTCCTAATAAAATGTTGGTAGGAAATTTTAATAAAATATACCTCCTTTATGACATGATTGATGACCGATGGATTGATGCACGTCCACCTTTAACTCCATTAGGCCGCAGCCTTCAAAGTGGCGTGGCAATGTCGCAGGTATGGTTGTAACAGTTGTTTTGTTTTAAAGCAGCTAATTGAGCGGAGCGAAGCAAAGCTCTTTGGGATCAACTTCAATGCAATCTTTATAACACTTAATCTCAATAACAGCTGAACCAACGTATTTTAGCCAAACTTACGAATGTTGTTTTGTCAAATGATTAGATGGTTTAGACGTAACCAATTTCAATTTTTGATAATGCCTATATAATTTTAAAGTAACTCAAAGTTTTTAAATTTTAACATTGGTCTTATGGGTTGCCATGATGGTTACAAAATAACAACGTAAATGTAAACAAAACAAAGAAATCATAGCTTATGTTCAAATCAAGCCACAACCTAAACACAGTTCAAAGGAAAAAATTGGATGATGACAACTGATTAAACAATACAGAGAAAGTCTTTAGGTTTACATTCAAGCAATTTGGAAACGACCACTGATCGAATAGGTACAGTCATAGATAAATCATACTTTCTTAGGTACAGTATTTAACAGATTTGATTTACGTGGCTAAATAAGGTTATAACATTTTATCTTAAACAATTAGTAGGTGAATCACACTCGTGGATCAATCTCATAAATGGCAAACTTAAACAGGTCCGACGAAGGAAGTGGTGAAGGAAGTTGTAAAAGGCTAAAGGTTCTGAGTGTGGGAACCCTTTGTGGCAGTTAGATTAATATGTATCCGTATCGGCAATCCTAAAATGCTATGGGAAGGGAGGAAAACAGGTCCACAACGTAGGAAGTAGTGAAAAAAGTAGTATAGGTTAGCTGTGCAGATTGTGGGAACATTTGTATTTTGTATTATATCTATAAACATTTTTTAATTTATTACTTTACAACCGTGAAACATGATTGCTCCGCTCAACTGGCTTTCACTGCTCTGAAAGCAATCCTAGTGGTATTTGTGTATTTACAAAACCTTGGTTACTGGACTATGACAATGTTGACTCCCCGTTAAATGTACAGATATAGATTTTCAATTCATATTCTTTTGGTTTTCAATTCCGGACGTTTTATTTTTAATATTTTAATAAATTTATGTTCCTAAATTTCCATTTAAATCGATAAAATGTGAATTAATCAGCTGATGTCACCTGTCTGTCATGTTATACACACGTCTGGCTCTCGCACGGCACTAAACAACACATCGATGAACAACACTACTTGCGGCCCATTCTACCAGGCCGCGGCCTGGAGTTAAAGTCGCCCGATTGATGCCAGCAATCTGATTGACTTCCTAGAATGAGTTTTTGAATAATACTCATAGTTACAAAAAATCTCTCATGAATATTAAAAACATGATGTTAAAAATCACCAAAGAATGATTTAAGCCAAATGGTTATAATTTTATTTTACTGAAATCATTGGTACAGGTATCCATTGTTGAAACAAAATCCAACAACATTCAGTAAAGAAGTGAATTCAAAAATGTCTGTTTTCACAACATTTTATGGTTTTCTAATGTTCTTTATGTTAACAAGAGAGGGTAATTCAGTGTTTGTGATTAAAATGATTTTAAAAGTGCAAGAGCCATATGCCGAACCCAAGGTTGTACAAGTACAACGGAGAAATAAACTGATGACAATGCAGCTATTTAGTTGCAAATGTCTACACACAATATTCAGTCCCACCCACGAATACGGTACTATGGTCCCGCCTAAAGCTGGGTTTTCCTAGACCTAGACGCGGAGTCGGCCAGCGGAGACCGGACAACGGAGAGCGGAATTGAAATTAACATGGCATTCCGCTCCGCTGCTAGGAAAACAGTAACATTAAATTACCTAAGACAAGCTGAGTCCGCTCTCCGCGTTCCTCCTTCCGCTGGCCGACTACGCGCCTAGGAAAACCCGGCTTAACCTCTGCTGTATTATAAGCTTTTGTAGCTTTCGGTGAAAAATTGATGTGAGTGATTTAGTTACAAATATGTGGTAGTAGTAAAATACAAACAGTTTTCCTTCATGTCGGCGTCAGGCCATTGCTGGCACGGACTGGTCAGTTCCAATTGCAGCTGGTGCAGGCTGTGAGGAGAGTCACATTCTGTGCTGAGTGTAGCTTCCTTGGCTTGGCTGATCACTTCCGAGTACCTCTTGATGGCTTCCTCAATAATGTCACATGTTTCTGCAGTCACCTACAATGAGTAGAAAGATCGTTATTTTTTATTTTAAAGGTAGTTTTACAATATAGCCATCAGTATTTAGGCCTATACTTTTAGAATAGGTACAGCATTTCCACAGAATTGTTTTTCTATCACCCACAAATTGGGCTTCCTTGCACTGATTATAGTACAGAAAGTTGCTAAGTGCTGCATTTACTTTACTTTTGCCGCAATATTTTTTGCCGCACTCTTTTTTTCCCGAACCCCTTTTTTGCCTAACTCCAAAATTCCAACCAAACAACACAAAACAGCGTGTTTTTAAAAGGCTCGTAGTTCCAGTTCGTGTACGCTTGGAAATAGGTTGGCAACACTTATTAATTACTACGACTACGATCAGCAGTTATAGTTATAGTGTTTCCCATTTCGTTCAACGAAACGGCACACGGAAGATTTCTCAGGTGCCGTTTGACGTCACTTTGAGGGAACACCAATACCGCAACGATACGGTTTGGAGCCAGCGGCCTCGGTGGTGCAGTCCAGCCCTGGCAGTGGATAGCGTTGCGGGCTGATAATCCGAATGTTCCGGGTTCGAATCCCGCCGGCGGCACTAACTTTTTATCAACATTTTTTTCATATCAGCAAGTTTGGTTGGTTTGGTTAGGTTATGACAGTTTAATTTTATAATTTAAAAATTATAAAATTGAATTTTAGGCTATTATAATTTTATTTTATGAACAAAACTATTTTTTAGATTAGTAAACCTTTATTCGATTTTTCCATTATCAGCACGTTTGGTTAGGTTAAGACAGTTTAATTTAATAATAGAAAATTATAAAATTGTCTGTTTCTTCAGACGCAGCGGTTAGTGACGTCAGCAGTTAGTGACGTCAAACGGCACCTGAGAAATCTTCCGTGTGCCCCACCGTTTCGTTCAACGATTGGATTGGATTTAACCTAAAAACTTGTTGTATAGTTTTTGGAAGACTAATTATTTAGGTATATGCGTTATAGTAACTATGTAGGAAACATATAATGTGTAACACGAGTGCAAAGTGTCCTTGCTGCACTCGAGAAATTTTCCACAATCGCCTGCGTAAACATTTCTCTTCGCACACGCACACTAGTTACACAAATAACTATTTCTAAACGGTTACCTAGTTTTTCAACCTAAAATTGTATTACAGTAATGGTAGCACAATTAAATCAACTGTTGATTGAATAGATCGCAATTTGCACGTATTCAGGTTCCCCATGTCTTTTTAGATTATAGAATCAAGCCCTTTTTGTGGGTCTTAACATTCTTACATTCCATTGTATGTTTTGGCAATAAATCATTTAATTTCATTTCAACACATTTAAAAGAGTGTTAAGGATAATTCTTGGAAATGAATTCGTAGGATACTATGTTTATGTTTATTATCCATCTTTTATAATCACATAGGTCATAATAATTTCATCACTTTAAAAATAAATTTAAAAAATATTTTGATGATGAACTTTTACTGGAGTATATTTAACCTACGAGATTATTATTATATGGTTTTACTCTAGCCCTAGCTAGAAAAATGCCTGAGTTGATGAATAACTTTTGCATTGACTGTCACTTTAGTCCTTTAGTAAAAATTAAAACCCTTTATTTACACAACCTGGAATATCTGTATCATTATAAAATAAACAAAATATGCAAGGTAGTTTGTTAATTTACGATTTTTTTTAATGTTTTGCCTTAACTATGATATAAATAATCTTAATGTACAAGAAGGTTATTACAGTATAGTAGCCACGGTATGCCCTCTGTTTGTTTAATTTGAGAATAATGAATAAATTAAAAACAAATTAACAACCAGACACTATATGTCATGTTATTACGATGATTAAGTACTGTTATATTAAACAATTTGTCTTGTTGAAGCTAACTAAATTAGAATAAGCACAACTATGTGTTGTATACAAAATACTTGTTTCAAATTACCTTTAGTTCAAAGCCTTTTCCGACCGTCCTAGTGTTAACTGATATCCTAACACTTTGCGGCAGCGGCCAAACGGCGCCCTCAGTTGTATTGGGGTTGACAATACAACTGCAAACACTAACGTAAAATGTGACTAGCAAGCAGACGATTGTATAGCGTGATCGTTGCATAACGTGTGTTGGTAGTCAAACTGTGTCCTGCGGAGATAACGAAGTAGACGTAGGATGTGAGGGCACAACACGAGGACCGTCGTCTCCTCCCAGAGATAGCCTACAGCGGACAACGGCGATAGTGACGTTAATTATGTTGGATGACCCCAGACCCCACTCGACCCCAGCAATATCCTCCCTCGGGTCAAACTGTAACACAATCGATTTGTATCCTCTGAGGACTAGGCAGTGGGCGGCATAGGACTACACTATCGGGGGAAAATATGTAGCCTACACTCGAGTTTGATGGATACATTTAAATATTTCCAATACATTTCGCGTGGTGACAATAAACATTTTACCGTTAGATAGACAAATTTAGATGAGTGAAAGACTACAAAAGTACAGTTTGTTTAGGACTAATTTAACTCTAACACTGGAGTTGAAACTTCAATTCCAAAAACAAATTAACCGATCGTTCTGAAATGTTTATGGCTTAATATAAACATAATCATAACCTGAAACTGTTATCCCGCATAATGTTTATACTGTATTGCTGTTATGTACTGTTGCTACTCTTATTGGTGTATTAAAAGTGCCAACCAAGTACGTCATTGCCGCTCGAGAATAGGTACAGTACGTTACAACCCACACACTACACGTGCCAAAAACAGACGAAACGTGCAAGTGTGTGTTCAACGGTGTGCATGGAACGGTGGAAATCAAAACGAGTTTGATTTTTGGCGTGCCGTGGCAAAGCACACCGTTCTCGTTCTGACAGTACGTTTTCTGTGGTTCTGACATGCTAGTGTGTAGGCGGTCCCGTGCCACGTGCTGGTAGTTCAACCACTTTGCCACTTTTGACAGGGTTTGACACTATAATAGTCCTTTCTTATTAGTGAATCGACGGCATTTTGTCTTTGGCAAGACTATCGAGATTATAACACAATGGATCGCGCGCCGTATGTGATGCGTGAGCCGAGACGCATTCATGGATCTTTATATAATATATCATAGAGCAAACATCCTCTACCACAGTATATTGTGAACCAAATGCCCTGCTGGCGTATATATGTACGGGAGTGAGGTGTAAGGTTTGGACTAACCTAAGGCGGCTTAGTGCTGTCTATTGTCTATTTTAATGATTAATTAATTATATCCTTAAAACATGCCATATGTGTGTGTGTTTTGCATTTAATTTGTACGAACTGACGATGTAATTTAGCACTTTGCAGGCTACACTGAAGATCAAGTGTGTGGGCAACAACGTGCCGTGAAAGGGCAAACTGAGCCTTCGTAATGGTTGTCCAGGGTATAGATTTGAGTTGGGTGTACGTTCTTACCGGAGTATTGTAACAAAGTTACTCAATAAATATCGTCCCAAGATTAGGATGTTATACGAAGTATACAGTAGTATCAAAGCATAATCACACTACGGCTGAAAATATGACTTTCAGCCACGTTTTTAATTTTTAATCAAAACACACAGGTAGGTAGTGTTGTATATCAATCTTCTTAGTTTTTCTGTTTCTACTTTACGAATATTATATTTATATGAAGGGATTTAAGAAATAAAAAAAAATACAATTGTTTTGGAGGTGTTCGTTGGTGAATGGAGACTCATCAAGGAAACGGCTTCAAGCGCCGAGGCCGAGGGGAGTGCACTGTGGACCCGGGTAGCTGATACCCCGTTAGGCCCGTGTGCGCCAACTTACTGGTTTAAGGATACGCACTGTAGAGTGTAGATGGCCATACGAAGATGAGAACATTTCGCGAGAGCGGCAGTATGACTGTGTTTGTGGTCGTAATACACACAATATTTACTACCACCACCATTTAACCATAACACACAGAAGAACTTTTATAAAATGCCGTATATAAAATGCAGCAAAATGCTATGTTTGCTTTTCCTCAACCAATCACTTTCATATATGCATTACTGGATGTTCTATTTTATAGAAACGCCAAAAGTGAAATCAGCTGATTTACCGAGCAGGATTGAATAAAGCGGAAATGAGCTATTATGTATACTGTTTACAGATGTGGCAATATGATAATTTACAAAAGTCACTATACTACTAAGACGCTAAAAAACATACCTCGCTAAACATTTCAACGCGACTGTCACTGTCACTACATAAGAAATAACAACAATACATTAATTAGATTTATAATCCGAATAGAGTTGGGTCTATTTACTTCTATATTAAGTTAACACAAATTTCCCCCTTAACTGTCTCAGTCTTGTCTTCTAATTCTTATGACAATTCCCTGCCGAGCGGGAGCGCGCGCGATACGGCGACGTAGCCAAGGGGAAACATCCAAAATACACTTTACCATAGATAAAACATACTTACCTTCTCCGGCAAAGAGTATTTTTTTGTTGACACTTGGCAGTGGTTTAATATGTTTCACAACATGTGCAGCAATTGATTTGTTAACTAAATTAAGCACAATCCGCACTATAGTTCGGCCGCTTAGAAAACGACCTGCGCGCTAATGCTAAACCAATGCTGGAGGAGGTCGCTTTCTAATCGGCCGAACTATAAAAAGTAGGCTATCCTTTTCTATTATTGGAGATGACTCCTAAAAGTATTTCTTAATTTCTTGATGATTACACCTGTTATCTACACAAACTGTCAAATTGAATCTATTATAGACCTAGTTTAAGATTGTTCTAAGCTAAATATTGAATCATCTGGCCCATTAGCTCAGTTGGTTAGAGCGTCGTGCTAATAACGCGAAGGTCGTGGGTTCGATCCCCCCATGGGCCATCTAATATTTTATTCGTGGTTATGTACATGAATGAGTATGGGACAATATTATTTATAATCGATTTAAAATCCACCTTAAAAGATTAATAAATAAGTAGTTTTATTTTCTTAATCATTCTGATGACCCAAAATAAACTGTGTAGTTTGTTGAACTATGCTTTAGTTTAAAGACGGAAAATGGTTTATAAAAAAGCGTAGTCTAATAATAACAGTTGCGTACACACGTCATATACAGAGTGAGGCAATGAAGCGCCCCAATTTATAAATAGGCTAGTACAAATTCAATACTATTTACCCTATACATATTATGTGTAGGGTAAATAGTATTGATTTTATATTATAAATAGCACATCAAAACACAGCTTATATTTTGCCATTTTAACTTAACAAAGTTATTTTTCCATTTCTTGAAAACAAAATCCTCTAAAAGTGACGTCCTTGTCCTAAAATCGATCGCCACTAATCTTTTTTATGTATTCATACCGTCTCAACAGTACAAGTGTAAAAATACTATGTTACAGGTGTTATTAGACGTATACTTTCGGTAAATTTAATAACACGTACGATGCTATGCAATATATGTAGATAAGAGCTTAACTTCCGGGAGGACATATTATCATGATTATGATTATCAGTCAGCAGATTATCGTCAACAATTCCCGGGGCGATTGTGTGGAACTGTCCCATCCCCTTACTAGGGCAAGTTGTCTTTAAATCTTTGATACTGATTGTTCTTGGAGAATTAATAAAACCATGTCTACTGTATAGATGGTATAGGTGTATAGATGGTTGGAATTGTATATAGAAATTGCAACATTTCACAAAGACACAAAACGTGCTCACGATTTTGTTACGGTTAAAGACAATAAGTTATCTAGAATAAATAAATTAGTTAGGTATCTTATATGGTTCTAAGTAACTGTTTTTAAATACTGAAATATATTATAATATAATATTTTTTAACACAATTTCTAGCGGTATATTGCTTGACGCTTACAATTAACTAACTCTGGATAGAAAACGTTTGCATTTTGCAAACGAGCAATCAAACGCCGCTGCGCCGTGTCATATCATCAGACCTACTTTGCATAATCTCATCGGTTTGATTCCACAAGACACAACTGATGATAACTGGTCATCACCAGTTCTATCTATGAGTCACTCAGACCTTATGTGTACAATTATATTTAGTTACTGGGTTTGGATCCAGAGTCAGATGTCCTTGCCCTTAGTAGTATCCCATGAAGCTTTGTGATACATGTATGTGTAAGACAAACTTATATGGTTAAGACCAATTGAATAAATTTAGAATATAGGCTAAACTCGAGAGTATGCATTTTGGTATACGAAGTTGAAAAGCGTTTTCAAGCCGATAAACGATAAGTACCGATAAGTAAGATACATCTCTTATACTGTAATTGTAAAGATAATTGTTCACACATTTGAAATTCCTTATGTATTGGTGTATGGCTTGAACATTATGTCCTCACCAATGAAATAATAATGTATGCAGGGAGTATATTTCAACTCCTTCTGTCAGTCAGGGTTGTCAAGTTATGTTTTTAATGTAGGCATAGTATTGTTTTAAGAAATAACTACTGTACTTTCATAGTTTAATGGTTGGCAATTATTTACCTGCTATATAAGATAAAGATATTGAATCATTGTTGATTTTACTCACGATAAATTACAAAATGCGAACATCAAATGTGACCTTTCCCTAATTTGGGGCTAACTGTTAAAACAAAACTTTCTCTTTATATATTTCTTCCCCGAGGTACAAAAAAACCCTAACAGTCGTACAATCCAATTTCTTCCACTAGACTTACTGTTGTTACAGTATAAATAAAGTTAATAAGTAAGATTTGATAAAATTCTATGCTTACCTTAAAACTGAAGTTAGTAGGATCAAGCGTGATTTGCACATGTTTGTAATTGACAAACCTCGGCTCTGGCCAGACCCGGCCTTTGGTGAGTTGTTGGTCCAGTGTGTGCGAGCGAGAACATGCCGTGTGAACCAACAACAGAAGAACTGCGACAAGACAACGTCGATACTGAACTGATCTCATCGTGCGACTAATCCAAAGAAACAAAACAGTTCTGCCACTCTGCTTAGCTTATCAGTCAGCTGTCAGCTGTAACTACTGTTGTACTTCCCCTCCAAGCCAAACACACTACTAGGCGCGCGGCACGTCATTATAGTCACAGACAAGGAAATGCAAAACAAAGAGGAACGTGTCACTGTTTTGCCAAACTTAAACTTTCTTGAACTGATAAACGGTTAATCAACCGTGTCTATTATCAAGCGGTTAGAGTGTTAATTAAAAACACATGTACTTCACGAAACATATAAAACTGTACACTGTACTCTGTACTCTGCATTCCAATAATATGTCGAGAATTCGAAAAAGGAACACAGGATGTCGGGAACTTGAACTGAGGTTACAATATTTAACACTTGTATAATATACAAGGGGGCCGTGCTCAAATTTGCTAATTATTTTAATAAAGGTCAAATATTGTTTTCTACACAACACGAAAATCTCCACATTTTGATAAAAGCGTTGAATGAACCTACCAAAAGAATATTATTCGCAAATGAAAGGGCAAGATGTTTGAACCTAACAGAATATTATTAAAAAAATCGAGCCGAGTAGAAGCAGAACCGACGTAATTACCGAAAATCGCGCGACCGATTACGACGACTATATGTTTTTGCGATCGTGGGAGAATACGACGTCTCCTCACCGGCTTGATCAGGCCCGTTTTTCACCCTATCAGCGCCCTAGGCACAACTAATAGTAGTGCCCCTTTGCCCTTTGCAATACCGGTATATATGTGTATGTCCACCGACGAGGAAATCCGGAATCATGCGTGTTTTTTTTTTACCGGGAATTGTGAGTGAATTTTGTACTTCCACCTGTAATTTTCAATTTATCGCGATCGATCATGACAACGGTAGCGTTTCTGTAACCGCGGGAGACGATAATATGTCTACACACTGCCACGAGAGATGATCAGAATTTGCCGTGATCGCAGAAGACGATGATAATTTTCACACGACCGCGGGGAAAAGTCAGAATCTTTCCGCGGTATGATCTTCACAAGACTGCGGAATAATATGATTAACATTTTGCCGCGATAGCGAGAGGCGATGTCTTCACGACCGCGGGAGACGATTACGATCTCTACATAACAGAGGGAGATACAAAAATGATATCTTCAGGGCCTCAGGGGATTATCAGAATTTTAACATAATCGCACAAGACAATGATAATCCGCATGACCGAGGGAAAATATCAGAATTTTGCCTCATTCACGGTAGACGACGATAATATCCTCACGAAAGCGGGATATGTTCTTATACAGCCGCGATCATGGAAGACGCTGATAATGTCTACAGGACTGCAGGAAATATTCAGAATTTTGCCGCGATCGTGAGAGACGATAATGATATCTACACGAGCGGGAAATAATTAACATTTTACTGCAATGGCGGGAGACGGTTACGATGTCTATACGGCCACGTGAGACGATAATGATGTCAAAATGGTCACGATGGATTATCAGAGGTTTTCCCTATCGCATGCAAATACAACCATCAAATTATTTTTGTTATTTTCCAATTTTTGGCACCCCCTAGGAATGTGCCCACCGTGCCTATTCGGTAAATCGGCCTTGAGCCTGATAATATGTTTTCCTACAGTTACCTGACAATGGACAATTATTCGGGCTTTCTTGAACTGATTTTAGCACGGAAAGTATCTAATTTCTGCATTTACTTTCTTTTGCCGCTCCCCATAGTATCCCAACCAAACAACACAAAACAGTGTGCTTTTATAAGGCACGTACACTTGACAATAAGTACTACGGTTTCGTGTTTACATTCTATTTTGGTACAACGCTTGGATTTAACCTAACCTAAAAATATGCTCTTTAGTGTTGGAAATACTAATTATTTATATGCTTCATATATAGTACCTGTAGGAAAAATATAATGTGTAACGCGAGCGGTAAGTGCCTTTGCTGCACTCGAGAAACTTATTTCCACACTCAACATTTTCTCTCACATGCAGCAAAGTGCCTCAAATGAATACAAACCCTTTGTCCAGCATCTATAGGGAGTTGAGTATGCACTGAAAGTGTAACACTTTTTGACTTTTGATTGTTGTTGGGGGCATCTTGGAGATGACAAAAAACGATGTTGTTGCCCTCCCAGCAGGTGCACAACTTGGTGTTGAGGGGGGGAAGTAGCTGAGGCGCGTTCTAGAACATCGCTAATAACTCGATAACTAGACTAGACACAATAGAAACAAGCTCTAAACATCATTTTATTACCAACTTCATCTGCTTTAACAGAATTACAAAGAAAAATCCTGTGTCTATGATATTAATTGAGTTTATCATTTAATTTTATAATATATGTAATAAAAACTCCAAATAACGTTAAAATATCCATTTAAATCCCTTTAAACAACAAACAGTACAGTTTGCCATCATGCATTGTATGTTTAATACACTAAAGTCACTTTATATGGTAATTATATCAAAATATTACAAGTTAATGCGAGGTTTCCGATGAAGCGGCATGGTGCCGCGGGTGACGCCGCCGCGTGGCAGAAATCAACGTGTAGTACAGACTTGTAAAAATTGGGTTGTACCAAGCAGCATACCAAAACCTCACTACACTGTAGTGTAGTGGGGTCTTGTATGTACTGAAAGTGTAACGCATATTGATTTTTGATTGTTGTTGGGGCATCTTGGAGATGGAGATGACAAAACCTATGTTGTCGCCCTCCCAGCAAGTGCACAACTTGTGGAGGGATGGGGAAGTAGTACAGGAGGTGCGTTCTAGAACATCGCTCACATCTCGTGAACAAGACACGATAGAACATGTTTTGAACGGCATTGTATTAAAAACCTAATCTGCTTTAAAAATGTTACCATGAAAAATCCCATATACTGATAATAATTTAGTTATTTAACATTTTATTTTAAATTACTAATTTAAAGTCAAAATACCGTTAATCTACCTATTTAAATATAGCTCAACAATGAATCGTAGTGTGTTTGGAGTGGATTGTATGCATAATATACCCAAATCACTTTATATGGTAATTATATCCAAATTTGAGGTTTCCGATAATGTTGTGTAATGTTGACGTGAGCATCGCCGCTAATAAATTTGTCTGCCTTCAAGGACGTAAGTAAAATGCCTTGAACACAGACACCTTCAAATTTTACACCTGCGCGGTGCTTTATACCATTGACTATATAGTCAATGTTTATACCTAGGATCAGATAGAATTATTATGCTGTATGCATAAACTTTGAAATTTTGACTTTGAAAATTGTTTCTTGTAGTAAACAGCAGGTAAGCCATGCTGTGAAGAGCCTCATGTTTGCCCTGGCCCCCTGTACCTCCCCTGTAGCCCCTCCACAGATTGTTTGTGCCCACATGGATATGAATTACATCTAGGTCTTTGTGGTTTACACATTTTAACAACACCTTTTTCAACCTGTGGATACGAGCACCTAGACTACCTACATTCTACAACTGCTCCTTTTTTTACAAATCAGGCGCAGACGGATCATAGAATCACCTATAGCTAAAAAAAAACTACTAAAACAAAACTTTTTTGGATTCTGAACAACTGGATTGTAATTGTGACTAATTCCATCATCCATACTTTCACAGGCCTCTAAAAGACAGTGTGATGGTATGGTCCCAGCTTTCAAATGTGGCACACTTTTCTTTGCTTTGAACACATTTTGTGTAGAACATAAGAATTTGAACAGATGGTGTTTTTGGCTCCTGGTGCAAAAAAACCTGGACAAAAATTGGTCACAGTCAAGGTCATATCATGAGACCTATGGTAATCTTATCCCTACACTAGAAGTTCGCTAAAATAATGAGGGGACATTTAATTTTAACTGAGTTCCTTGTTTCATCATGCTCAAGCAAACTTAAAAAAATCATATTTAACTCTAAGCCTACTTTATTGATATAGCCTAAAGCTTCATTTTGAAAAGAATTTGAAAAAAATATGCTAGCCAAATCTGCACCATATCTTCATGAATTACACTCATAATACTGTGCATTGTATTTTTATTACCTTATAGCAAAGGTTGCCTATAATAGAGAATGATAGCTTTCCATTGCCAGCATTGTTGGAAAACCAACTTGTTGTTACCAAATTGTTACCAAAATATCTCCACAATGAGTTTTCTGTATAAACAACAAACAGGGAATCTAAAATAAAGTTAACACCATTGCTTAACAGCACCTTGTTTAAGGCACCAACAAATAAACTTCTTTAATAGTAAATCCAGTTTTGCTCATATATAATACAAAAAAACTAATCTTCAGCTGAAAACCCTATCCTACAATATCAATTGTTTTTGTCTTTATTTTATAAAATCCACAGTCAAAAGAACTTAACTCCACTGTTTCCATCAAACATTATGAGTTCCGCTTTATTTTGTTTTTCTAACACCTTGATGATTTTGATTAGGACATCAGAATCGATGTTGGTGAATTCTGAAAAAAAAATTGTCATGAGAAAATATACAAACAATGAAACCATTAGCATAGAAGATGACATGGGGTTTAATGTTCGAAATTGGTCATCAGATGTACAAGTAATTTTATTAATCGTGAATGTGTGTATGAGTAGATAAAACGATAAAACATACTCCCTTGGTAGATTTCCCATCCTTATCGAACAGCTGAAGCCAATTTTATCCTTAGTTCTGTCCGGTGCACTGTAGAGGTCGTGTTTTGTTTACAATTTGTTTATTGTTATTTCAGTAATTTAAAAAACTACTGGTGGTGAGTCGGTTGCTCAGTTGGTAGCGTCGCGGACTTCGGGCCCAAGGGAGTAGTGTCGTGCATTCGGATCCTGGTCACTGCCACTAACTTTTATCAGTGCAGTTCACCTTTGTACTGTACCGGCTCACCCCTTGCTTTGCTGGATACGTTCCACGCACAGATCTGTAGTCTATGTGGACAGGCAAATGCAAGGTTAAAAGAGGCCGCCAACCTCTTTAAAAAAAAAAAAAAAATGTAAAACTCCGTTTAACCAAATGAAACTATATAATCATAAACAATAAAGCATCCTCTAGTTTAGTTAGTTATATAACCAAACATGAAATCTATATAAATAAAATTAGAGTTTTGTCTGAACATTGCTCAGAATGATATATTTTTAGGTTTTATACGTTAAAGAAGCCGAAAAAAGTCTTATCTCTATTTCTGTCTGTCTGTCACGGCCATAGAGGAATTTTACGTGGCCTTCTCCTGAAAAATGAGACTATCTATCAAGATCCAAATCGATTGGCGAGAGTGTCTTTAGCCATTAAAATATGGCCTCAATACTTGCACCATAATCAAATTACTTTTGTAAATCAAATTACAGAAGTTCAAAACACCGATTTTGTGTGGTTTTTGTCAAGTTTTCTCCCAATGTTTATCACAAAATCATATCAAGATTATTTATTCTAGCTGTCACTGATAAGTTTAAATTAAATGTTGTTTACGAATACCACAACCATTTCCGACCATGTTTTGAAAGCAAATCCAAACCAAGTGAGATTAAAAACGTTTTTCCTTACATAACGGATTTAATTAATCGCAAGTGCAATAATGTGTAACCATAAATGAAATTAAATAACAAAGCATCATCCAGGTCAGGAACAAGAGATTCTTTGTGTATAAAATTGTTCTTGAGTTTTGATAACCGTGAAGAAGACCTTGAATCAGTGGTGTATATGGCTGGGAAACTTATATTTTTTTAATCATTGTCGCCAATAACTTACAAACAATTAACTCTAAAATATTATAAACAAAATTTCATGGACACTAGCCACCAGTGTCACCGGACATGAACTAGACACGAAAACCGAGCTGCAAAATTTACAATGGGATGGGAAGTCTACTTGTGTTGGTTGGACTATGCAGTGCTCGATTTGCAGGCGAACACGGCAGAACGGAGTTTCGGTACGTCTCTTTCGGAAACATCAAAATTTTAGCTGAAATATATACATAAATAGGTACTAATCACATTAAATAAGTTACAGTTATGCCACCTATTTTTTACAAACCAAGCACCGAGTCTATGGTATTATCTTCTATAGCTTATAATAGAACACTTTATACAATACTGTAAGACTTTTCTCTCCAACATCCCTTTTTCACCCGTCCTACCTAATCAATTATTGTAACGATCAAGGTGTCATTTTAAAGCTTATAATCTAGCAGAGGGACGAATGGTAATTGGAAAGGCAATTTCCTTTAGGGCTTCACCGCCTAACCTTTGATTTATTAATAGTGCGGTTTCAAAAAATCCATTGATGTGGATTAACTTTATTTATAGGCCTAACAGTTTAAATGTAAACTGTGATTTAACAGCTGATCCTTCAGTTTATTGTTAAAAAAGATCACTTATGGCTTTTAGTAGAAGGAGATCCCCAATACTTATAGAATTAATTTTAATCGGCACTATGACAGACTTTTTTACTGTAAATTAGCTATGAATGTTTTTCAATCATGATGTCACATGGTGGAAAGACCCTCCTCAAATACTCCCACCACTGGATTATTTGAGAGGAATCGTCGGTGGCCTAGCGTTTCCTTCATACCGTTCAGCTGTACCGCCTCGCACACTACGTGACACTTTGGCTGTTTGGGGTGGGATGCGCATGCACACACCTTATTTTCTACGCCTTGATAAATTAGTACTATTAGTAGTTTTATTCATCTGAAAACTGTTTCAAACAAACATAATCTTAATGGTAAAATAAGAGTGGTATGTGTATAAAATAAGTGTGCATTATTTTTCTACCCGAGTTTTGAAGCCTATTACAATGTGCAATCTGCGCACGTGGAGAATAATATGACTATGCTACCAGCTGATGAACTTATTTTTTACATTATGACAACAATGTTATAGCTTAGAACATGTCCAAGGACACCTTGAGCTGATTAAAATGTTGTAAACAATACAATACTACACATTCAGCTGCTCAGGGCTAAAATAAGATTATAAATTGATTAGTCTAGGCTACTTTAAAAAAACTGATAGTGATATACTGTATGGGTAGCGTGGTACACACTTGTTTATAAGTGGGCGAAATAAAACTAATTTTGTTGTAAGAATATTACTGGCTTATGGCCATAAGGTATTTTATATGTTTATGTGTTTATATGTATTTTACCTTGGTCGGGAGTGTGGGCGATTTCATAAAGAGTACAAACTGAATTCAATTGACCACTTTCTTGTATCCAACTGTAGATTATAGAACCCCACTCAGCAAGTGAATGCCAATAAATATGCCATCTGAAAGTATTAAACTTAACATTAATTATTTCACCAACTCTCAGTGACCTGGTAACATGGCAGTTTTTGGAATCATTGCAACCATCTTATGAGTGTTGTGGTTATGGATGTTTGTGTTTTTCTCCATTCCTGCCAGCGAAACACGGGTCTGACTTAGGGGAGGTACGAATGAGGCATTTAGTTCAAAATTCCTCCGCGAACAGCGCTGTAGTAGAGAGCACTTTGTCAATGAAGGTTTACTATTCGCAAAAATAGTTCTGTTCATAAAATAAAATTATAAATGCCTCAAATTCAATTTTATAATTTTTTAATTATAAAATTAAACTATCATAACCTAACCGAACTAACCAAACTTGCTGATAATTAAATCATATAAAAAAGATTAGTAATAGAAAAAATAATTATGTTTACTAAATAAAACTAGAAATTGCTCAATTAAAATTTTATAATGACTTAATAATAAAATTAAACTGTCATAACCGAACCAAACCAACCAAACTTGCTGATAATGAAAAAATCTGAGACAAAAAGTTAATGCAACCAGCGAGATTCGAACCCGGGACCTTTTGCACGCCAGCCCGGCACGCTAACCACTAGACCATCGAAGCCATTGTCCACAATCCGTATTGTTACGGTAATAGCGTTCCCTCAGCTAATAAGAAGCCCACAGCTGTCATCGTAGCCTCTTCCGTACCTCCCCTGAGTAAATACCGCGAAACACCAAGCCAGTGTAAGATCACAAGTGTAAACACACAGGGTGCTGCCATCATATGATTGTAAATCTTGTACACAGGGCATCCCTTACAGAGTATCCTTACTGGCAGTACAAATTGTTTTTTAAATCTCTAAAATATACTTTAAATTAATGAAATTATACTTGAATATATGTCAAATTCTGAGAAATATTATAAGTAATACAATACAGCTAATTTGATGGATTTACTGTGTGACGTAGATACAGCAAAACTTTAAAACTTTTTTGATGAAATCACTAACTCGACAGTCAACAGCTGACAGTGTGCACGACTAGCTGGATATTAAGTTCAACTTTTCAAGGAGGGCTGATGATTGTTTATTAGATTCTTTGAAAACTGTTTACTCAATATGTAAAACTACTCATGAAAGTATTATATTGATATGTACAAATTAGTCTGTTTTGTATTCACTTATTAAACCCCATTAACAATGTCAATGTTCTGGATGACTTGACAACCTCTGGGTCCACAAACTGTCGAGTTAGTGACGTTTTACTGAACTATAGATTTTGATGAAATGGAATACACTTCCCGTTATTCTATTTGAAAAAAAGCATAGGTACCTAACGTCATAAATAGGTTTATAATTTACATTGGATTTGTTATCTCATTCTGTAGTTTTGGACTGTATTAGTTTGTTCGTTTTTGATTATAAAGCTTGTATGTAAATAATGTACTGTATAGTTTAAAACAAAAAACCTTAAAAAATTATGGCTTTTGTTTTATTTTACTACGTCCACTTATATAATTGATATTTTGATTGAATATTCTGTACCGGTACACAAATATACTGTAAGATGTATAACAGAGTACAGCAGCATTACCTTGTTCTTTCTTTATTAAGAGGATCAGCTCTCCCGCCTCTCTGAAGAGCTTCTAAAACAATAAGAATTCCTTCCGTGGACAGTTTTCCTGGGAGTACATGTTAGGGAAAATCTTTCTGTTATAAATGACACATCACTCCGAACGCGGTAAATCATGCTAGAACCATTAACATCTTCCCAAGTAAGTCAGATCATCAGCAACAAAAATACAGAGTAAGTAAAAGAAAACATATACATATACCATCTTTATATTTTAAAAATGTGGTTTTTCTTTTCTGAGTTCAATTGGCTCTTCTACACAACCGATTTTCATGATTGAGGTCTCAAATTGAAGGTATACATACACGCACAGATTCCACATCAAGCATTGGCACATATTTATTCACAGTCCCACTCGGCTTATGCGTAAACAAAATTTGCTCCCCATGTATTTCTTATGGGAGTTAAATTTGGTTTTTCTTTTCCAAGTTCGTTTGGCTCTCCTACCTGACCGATTTTTAAGATATAGGTCTCAAATTGAAGGTATGCAGGACAGATTTCATATCAAGCATCAGTGTTTATTTATCTACTGTATTATTCGACCAAAAAACATAAATTTATTTATTTTTGAATTCTTACTTTAATTTAAGATATTTCACCAGTTGTATTTATATACGGTGTCGGTAATCCTATATATTTTGGTCTAAGAACCTTCAGTGAAATACCGGCTTTAATTTAAGCTATTAGTTATTCAAATAGGAAGATTTCAAGCAAACACAAGGTCAACAGCTAACATAAAAATTATTTTTATTAGGTTTTTCTATGCTTAAAAATCAATAGCTCCAGTACCTATTGTTTTTATGTTTTTTTATATCTTTAAGACTAAAAATAATCAGTAAATTATAGGCTTTAATTTGAGCTATTGATCGTTTGAATCAGTTAAGTTCAAGAGACTGTATTACTCAATTAAAATCAATGATAAATTTGATTTTTTCCTGGATATGACATTTATTTCAACGCTGCAGAGTAGGGTTAATATCATACATCATCATTATCTTAGTCTATCCTGATTATGATAGACTAACATAATCATTAAACTTACTAATATTTTGATAATTTTGGCACTTTAAAAACATGAAATTAGCCTATTTTGAGCTCATACGTATTTTGGATTCATAAGGGCGGCAGATTTTGTTTTTGCCTCGTAGATTAGCCGCCTCCACTCTTCTCTATCCTCCGCCATCCGGATATTCTCCTCCGCATCGAATCCCATCCTTTTTTACTTGGTCATGCCATCTTAATTTAGGAATACCCAACAGACGTCTTCCTGTAGGTACGTCCTCACAAACCTCCTTCCGTCTTGTGCCAGACTTACTTACTTACTTACAGACGAGACAAAAAGTCAACTGAGATTTGTGACGCCCCATCAGTATGTTAGTAAGTAAGTGCAGCAGATTTGAGCTAGTTTAAAAATTAGCTGTAACATATATATTAGCATAGACAAATAAATTATATATAGACCAAAAGCAGAGCTGCGGTTAGCATATGTTCTGGCGTTCATTGAGTGCCGTGTAGTCAAGGCGCACACTGTTGCAGGCATACGGCTCTTCGCCTGCAGCGCTGTGCGCAGTAACTACAAGGCACTCCTTGCGGCACATCGCGGAACCTTCCTTTGACAGTCTATATTTCTTCTATTTGTCTACGATATTGTCAATATTAGGCTACTTATTAAACTAACTAGACTTGTTAATATTTACTACTAAAATATTATCTTGGTTACATAAAATCTGCTGTAAACATTTAACAATAAAAAAGGATACGGCTAATTGATGCATTATTGAACAATGGAGATGTTTCGGCTTCCCTTAAATCCAAAACATACAGTTTTTCTGAGCGATGGTACTCCAGCACTAAACTTTTCCAGGCATCCAACTGTTTTTTTCTTGTTTCTTCATTAGGCTGGATTCTAAACAGAAATTAAACTTAATATAATGTGACATAGCCTATTTAATAAACTTACGAGTTATCTGAACCAAGAATTACATATTGTTGATGATATTCTTTACAACCAGGCCTTATGTTATAAATTAACAGAAAAAGTGGTAAGGAACCTATCAAATAAGTTACGTTTACTATAACTTAAGTTAGATAAGAATTATTAGGAATAAGTTATTCAAATTATAAATATCCATTTAAAGATTATTTGGGGTAGGCCTACAGTTTCTTAACTGGGCTATGCTAATATCGATTGAAACTATCAAATTGAAAATATCTTTTAATAAACGATATAGGCTATTTACTATATCAATTATAAAATTAAAATAACTTAAACTGTCATAATCTAACCTAACCAACCAAACTTGCTGATAGTGACAACATCGAATGAAGGTTTACTAATCGAATCAATAGTTTCAATCGGTATTTAGCATGACCCAGTTAAGAAACTGTAAGTTACCCGAACAAGTAATCGATATATCGATCGATATATTTGTTCAAATGAGTGTAGGACGGATACCAAAGTGCAGCCCTTATACAGTTAAGGACACGGAATGCTCCATATAGGTCAAGACTGCCCTAAAAAAATGTTGTCTATTTTATCTTACCATAGTCCAAGCCTAGCTTAGAAAAGCTACCCTAATTCCCTAGGCCTAACCTGGTAAAATCTAAAACGAGTGCACTATGCCTACCCTTGTTTAAAGGGCATTTGATATTGACTGGAGGAGCCTAAAACGGAAACAACTAATGATAATGCACTACTTGTTGGGGCTGCACTTTACTTGACGTCCTACACTCATTCGAATGAAAATATCGATCGATATATCGATTGCTTCATTCGATATATCGTTTGGTTAGTTAGGTAAGGTTAACCTAACCTAACTAACCAAACGATATATCGAATGGAACAATCGAATGAAAATAGCGAATCGAAAAAACAGTCGAATGAGTGTAGGACGTCAAGTAAAGTGCAGCCCTTGTTGGTGAGTTATTGGTAGGTTCACATCAATAATGGGTACAGTTTCTTAACTGGGCTATGCTAATATCGATATCGATTCGATTAGTAAACCTCCATGCGATTTTTTCACCATCAGCAAGTTTGGTTGGTTAGGTTAGGTTATGTTAGGTTAGATATATTTAAAAATATCGATTATTAATCAATATTTCCAATTCGATAGTTTCAATCAATATTAGCATAGCCCAGTTAAGAAACTGTAGGCCTACCTCCAATAATAGCACTGTGTCTAATACTGTATCTTTTGCGGACAAGCTTAAAGGAATACCCTCAGCTGTAAAACCATCTGAAAGAAATGTGAGTACAAATGTAAGTAAATCCACTGAGTTTGAGAAGGTAATAATAGGGACTAGGCCTAGTGATAGTTCAGGGCTTAAGACCTCTCTGTCGACTAAACTAACGGCAAAATCGAACAAATCATGGCTCTTCTTGTCTAGAATCTCAGTGGAAGAAAATGCTGATAGTGTTTTAAGCTTTTTGCGTGGGCAGGGTGTAGCGGATGCTGTTGTTATGAACTCAAAACCAAATACAGTTCATATAGGTCTTTTAAAATAGGCCTACATTCTGACCAGTTAAATCACGTCCTGAGCCCTGTTTTTGGCCATTTGGTGCACTGATTCGAAACTTCACATTAAAATCTGTAGGCCTACCCAAGCAGTCAAACCCTTTTTTAGGGGATGCGAGGCCGCAAAGAAACCAGAGGTAGGTTCTGTCCAACAGGGCCATGTTAGGGTAGACAATACGTATAAGATTGGCCAATGGAATGCACAGAGTATCAGATCAAAGCAAGCCCTACAGTCTATCCTTATCGAAGAAGAAATGATTGACGTGTTGTGTTTATCTGAACACTTTCTTGTAGCGGACGAGGTTGATTTCTATAGGAGGCTATCAGACCTTAGGCTTGCTAAAATCTTTTGTAGAGCTAACTCAAGGTGCAGTGGGGTGGCCATTTATGCGAGGGAGACTCTGATTATTGAGGAGATTGATTTATCCTCCTTCTGTGTGGAAATTGATTTTGAAGTTGTAGCGGTACCGGTAAATATTATGTGTTTAAATACTGTAGTTGTATCTCTGTACCACTCACCGAGCGGCAACTTCAAAAATTTTTGTAGGTTACTTGAGGGATGCTTGTCTTTCCTTACACGAAATCTTAAAACTAGACTCATCGTTGCTGGTGATTTCAATGTCAACTTTCTAGGAGATGAACCCAGAGCAAAGACTGTCATTGGGCTACTAAAATCCTTTGGCCTTTATACAACCTGCACTGAACCTACGAGAGGACCATCCTGTCTCGACAACATTGCCACCAACTTTACTGTGGATGAGAGAGCGACCAAAGTTGTGGACCCTGGTGGAAATGATCACGCAGCCTTGGTAATGTCCGTCAGTCAACTGGACCGTCGTTAACAGTGAGGTGAGTCAATCTTTGCCCTCTTGGCACTCATCGTATGTTTGTAGAATAAGGCTAGGCATCTCAAATCCCCGCACCCTAGACTTTTTTAGGGACTCTTTATCAAGTGTACAATGGGAAAATATGCTGTCAACCAGAGGTGAAATGTGTAGTTTTGAACGGTTTTTTGAGTTCTTTCGGGATATTTTTGATGCTTTCTTTCCAATTTCTGAGCAGAGATTTAAAAATAAGAAAAGAAGCCCAAAGCCCAAGGTTAAATATGGAGACTGGTATACAGCTGAACTCAATGATCTGAAGGAGTGTATGCTTGCCCTTAAGGATAGGTTTAGGGAAGACAATGAGGTTGCAACCTGGAGGATGTACTTGGCTCTTAAGAAACAGTACAAGGGAAGGGTGGAGCTAGCCAAGAAAGCTTATAATGCTAAGTGTATTGAGGAGGCCCCAAACAGGTGCAAGGCTGCCTGGGACCTTGTGAATATTCACCGTACAGCACCCAAACGTGAGGTTGTTTTTGCCAGCCCGGACGACTTTAACAACTTTTTCAGCGATTCTGTGAGGGACATTGTTGATCGCCTGCCCCCATGCGTCGTCGATCCGGTTGACTTGTTGGCAGACAGAGTTCCGACTCGAGACAATGTGCGGTTGAATACCTGGAGACACCACTCCTGAATCCATCAAGTCTATTGTAGGAAGTTTTAAACCCTCTACCAGCCAGGATGTCTATGGTATGTCCCCCAACCTCATCAAGACCATTATTGGTGAAATAGCTGCTCCCTTGTCCTTCTGTATTAATGATTGTCTTGAGATGGGACTTTTTCCAGATAGTCAGAAGGTCTCAAAAACTGTTCCTGTGTTCAAGAAGGGGGATGTGACAAGCCTTTCGAGCTACAGACCAATTTCCATAGTACCCGTTTTTGAGAAGGTGATGGAGGCGGCCATTAAACCCCAAGTGGAGGACTTTTTTGAAGGGAACAAACTCCTTACTGAGATGCAATTTGGTTTTCGTCATGGAAAATCTACGGCTGCCACTGTAGCTGCAGTGGCAGAACGAGTCAGTGCTGCTTTTGAAGACCATCGCTCAACTGCACTTACTCTCTGCGATCTGAGCCGTGCCTTCGACACTGTGTCTCATGAGGTGCTCCTAAAGAAGCTCTACTTCTACGGGCTGAACGGAGTCGTCCTATCTACTCTTCGATCCTACCTTCTAGATCGTACACAGATGGTGACTTTGGCAGGTGCTTCCTGCTCTTGCAGAGCTGTGGAGCATGGAGTCCCTCAAGGATCCATTTTGGGACTGCTTTTATTCATAATTGTGATGAATGACCTGGATGATGATGGCGGTACCCTTCTTTTTGCGGACGACACCACCCTCCTGTCATCTGGTTCAAATCTTCAGGAAATAAATGAAGATATGGAGCTTCGACTGCGAAACGCTTCAGCCTGGTTTGTAGCAAACCGTTTCCAGCTGAACCCTGACAAGACCCAGAGGATGGTTTGCAGTCTGGCTCACATTCCTCTTGTAGACCAGAGCCAAGTTAAGCTCTTGGGAATTGTATTGAACAATAGGCTAGGTTGGGATCAGCACATCGACCAGACTATAAATAGACTCTCTTGTGTCTGCGCCCTCCTTCTAAAGCTGAGATCATTTGTGACTGAGGACTAAGTTTACCTTAAAATGGTCTACTTTGCTTTATTCCATTGCCACGTTACATATGGACTGCTTTTGTGGGGACATTCTCCAGGCACAGTGGACATTCTCAAGATCCAGAAAAGGACCTTAAGAATCATCACTTTTAGTGACAGACGGGCTCATAGTAGGCCCCTTTTTGTCAGACTAGGGCTGCACTTTACTTGACGTCCTACACTCATTCGATTGTTTTTTCGATTTGATATTTTCATTCAATTGTTTCACTCGATATATCGTTTGGTTACCGTAGTTAGGTTAGGTTAACCTTACCTAACTAACCAAGCGATATATCGAATGAAGCAATCGATTAATCGATATATCGATCGATATTTTCATTCAAATGAGTGTAGGACGTCAAGTTAAGTGCAGCCGAGACTAGGAATACCTACTGTCTTCGGTCATTACGTTCTCCTGTGCCTTCTTCATGTTTGGGATAAACATAGAGACCTTACGTCCCGTGCCATGGTCCATCCCTACAACACCAGGCAGAGAAACATGCTGGATGTTCCCCGCGTTAGGCTCTCCAAGACAGCCGCTACATACCAAATTCAGGGGCTTAAGTTCTTTAACAAACTGCCAATGGCCATTAGGGGCTGGAAAAGGGGTTATCTCAAGGACAAGCTAATGTTGCTAATTAAAGAGAGAGCCTACTACAGCATCTTTGAGTTCATGGATGATAAGGAAATAGCAAACATGCGGTAGCCATCTTTTCCATCATCCCTGGAAGTCATTTTTAACTTGTATATATGAATATATATATTGATTTTTATATCTAGACGGTTTTACACGTTGTGGACTTATTTTTCTTTTGTGCGTGTTAAAAGAAATGTTTTATTTTTTTGTCAAGACGCAATCTATCCCTTTTTTGGGTAAAAGATGAAGAAGGAGTAAGTAAGTAATATTTATAGGATAGTCCTTCATACTTACGTAAAAAATGGTGGAAAACTATATTGCCAAGGCCATTCCAAGGTACCCATTTCACTTTTGTGTCACGTTTAAGAGCACTGCAGTTTAGGCTTCATATAAAATAATTTGTTAATCATCAAACATACGATTACGATACGACCGAATGGGCTATAAACTTAAGCTTTCAGAAGAGATCACTAAACACATATGACGATCTGTGCTGTTATCAGAAGTAGTGTTTGTTCTGCTTTAGTATCAATCCAAAATAAATTAAAAACTAGAGCTTAATAAAATAAGAATTTTATGAAAACTCCAAATAAGTTACAGCAACTCACTGTATGTTTTTAATCACTGGTAAAGTTAGGTTATCAAAATGACAATGACAGTTCATTAGTTCAATGCAAGACTCAAACCATCTCAAACTACTCAAACTCAATTCAAGTCGGTGCCGTGAGTGATGATGAGGGTCGTGCGTGTCGTCGGACCGGAGATCGGACTTGGCTCGGACGTCGAGTCCGTCGAGTCGTCGTGATTCGAGAATTGTGTGTGAATCACTCTCAGTGTTGCCACCTCGTTGTTGCGATTTTACCCTAAAGGCAGGCTAAAATTACCCTAAATTACCCTAAATCTACTTTGAGCTACCCTAAAAATTACCCTAAATGTTAATATTAGTGTTTAATGCTATCAAACATTGTTAAAATAATATAAATCTTACATAAGGTGTTTAATTATACTAAATAAGGTTTCAATATCAATCAATATACGTAAAATTATACTCGATTCTCAAAAACAACCCGAAAGAAGAACAATGTCGATATTCAGTGCTCTATCGTATATATGAAAAATATCGAATCAAGAATAATCGTATTTTTTACTGTATCCTGTATCGACCCATTACTACTTTTTTTGGACAATCATACCTTTATAATACAGTACGGTACCATCAAAGCCTAGATCTACAGCAGTAATCTTTTGACACAAATCGTAAAATAATCCCAGTGTAATTCAATTCAATCACATAATTAAATATCAAGAAGTAATGAATAATATTTCATGGGTATTTTATTATAACGTGTTATAGAATCAAATACAATCTAAAACAGATAATTCACAGCTGATAAGATCGATTAACTTATTATGAAAAATGAATCATAGCATTGATTTAAACCGGTTGAATCGCATGTTGGTTTGGCCATAATATGTAATAATTTGCCAATTTTTAAGGTTTTTTTCATGTTTTTGGTTAAATTTCCATTGTTATGCTAACTTTTTTTTACCCTAAAATTACCCTAAATCTACCATTACCCTAAACTTTACCCTAAGACTAGTAAATTACCCTAAAAAAGGGTAATTACCCTAAAAGTGGCAACACTGATCACTCTGCACTCACAGTAGTCACTCACATCGCTCACATCACTCTCAGACTCACTCCACTCCCACTGACTGAGCGAGCATTCAATTCAGTTATTCAGTACCGATTCAGTGCCATCTCACAGACTAGACTCAACTCAAACACTAATTTTGTTCATGGTCTGCTGGTCTGCTGTCTGTGTCTGCTGCCTAACGATACATCGATGGTAAACAACGCCGTCTACGCCTAGTTACGGTGTACCTACAATCGGTTTTAGTCACTCACAAAAATAATAGCCTACCAAAATTGTATATTTTATATTGTGTCGTGTCCTTACTCCTTAATTGTTTGTTAAACCGTGTATGTATGCGAAGAGTCAATATTGAATTCAAGGTGTATTGGTACATAATTGCTGCAAATGTTGAATACCAGATAGGCTAGGATTGGTTATTAGGGGAAATAAGACTTGTTTATTTGCAATCCTTATTCTATGCGTTAAGAATTTTTGCTAGGCTTGCATTGAGCGTTTTGTTATCAAATGGCTACAACAACAAATGGAAACGGTAATTTGGTGGATGAATTTGAAGAGGCTTTTCAGGTAAGTTAAGCCTAGCCTAATTATTTTTTTTTTGGTATAGACGGGTACAGTTTCTTAACTGGGCTATGCTAATATAGATTGAAACTATTGAATTGAAAATATTGATTAATAATCGATATTTTGAAATATATCTATTATTAAATTAAACTGTCATAACCTAACCTAACCAACCAAACTTGCTGATGGTGAACAAATCGCATGAAGGATTAATAATCGAATCGATAGTTTCAATCGATATTAGCGTGGCCCAGTTAAGAAACTGTACCCGTATAGACTTCTGTAGGCCTATCTGTTGGCACAAACAACCGAATGAAAATATTAACATATCGATTATTCGATGTATCCTTTGGTAAGTTAGGTAAGGTTAACCTAACTTACCAACCAAATTATCTAGGCCTAAGGCCTACTTACCGAATGATGCAATCAAATAACCAATATTTTCATTCTGTTGTTTGTGCCAACAGATACGGAAGTGTACCCATATTTTTAAACATGGTTTAGGGCTAGAGCTCTAGGGCCTCTAAGTAGAATAAATGGGTACTGTTGTGTATTGTAAGTTTATATTGAAATAAATAGATAAATTAATATATAGATGAAAAATGAGCCTTATTATGTTACTAGTTTATTTACATCAATTGAATCACATTTTTGAAAATAACATATGATTAAATTATTAAATGCATAGCATTTGAAACATAGAGATATACAACAGTTTCTTCCCCACTAAATTTGATTCATAAGTCCAGTCTTTTCCGTTGCTTTCTCGTTCTGGCTGATTTGCGAGGAACATCTGTTGAAGCATTGTCATCTGTTTGAGGATAATTATGTTAACTGGGTTGAAACCTGATTTCTGAATTTTCGGGTTGAAGCCTGATTTCTGAATTTTCAAGTTGATCATTGTTATCTTCTCTGCGTTGAAGCCTGATTTCTATATTTTCCAGATCATTGTCCTTGAATGTCACGTTCTGTTGTTGCGAACTGGTATTTACTTTAGGAGATGAGCTGGAGGGTGTTTTGGCTGTTGTTTCTGGCACTGATGTTCTCTTCAACTGATCGATGTGTCTCTTGCCAATGTAACCGTTGTCCAGTTTGACTTTGTAGTGCAGAGCTCCAAGTTGAAAAATAACTTTTCCGAACTTCCAGCCGTCTAAGGAACGTACTAATATTCTCTCCCCCACTTTAAATGAGCGGCTTACTTGTTGAAAGCCTGGATGTAATGATGTGTTTTTCTTAGAGGGTTTGAGAGCATCTAGTTTTGTTCTGATCTTTCGATTTAAATACAGTTCAGCCGGTGATTGTCCGCATTGTAGAGGTACAGCTCGGTAGCGAAACAGTATGTCTTGAATTTGTGATTTAATATTCTTTCGAGGATCTTCAGCACAATTTTTCAACGATGTCTTTAACGTTTGCACATAGCGTTCCGCTAACCCATTGGTTGCTGGGTGTCCTGGGGCGATAAATTTTTGAAATATGCCTCTTTGTCGGCAAAAGTCTGTAAATTCTTGGCTAGTAAAAATGGTGGCATTATCAGAAACTAGTACAGCAGGATATCCATGTGTAGAGAAGATGTCATTTAGAAATTCTATTGTCGTAGCCGTGGTTGGTGCGTTTTTGGTTATTCGAACTTCAGGCCATTTAGATTTAGCATCAATCACTACTAGGAAATGGTGTCCATTAAATGGTCCTGCGTAGTCCATGTGAACTCTTTCAAAGTTTTCCTTAGGGATTTCCCAAGGGTGAAAAACTTTTGTTGGCTGTTTTGACTGTAAAGCGCAAGCTGCACATGATCGAACTTTATTTTCAATGTCTTTGTCAATTCCGGGCCAATAACAGTGGAGTCTTGCGAGTCGTTTCATTCTTACCATTCCTATGTGTGTTGCATGAAGCTCTTCTAAAACATGAGAGCGTAGTGATCTTGGAATGTAGACACGTTCTCCTCTGAATACAATTCCTTGATTAGTTGAGTAAATTGGATCATTTGCACCTTCTTTTATTTGTTTCATAAGATCTTTCATTCCTGGATCGTAAGCAGTTTCTTTTGAAATTGAATCACTCGTGATGTTGATTGATGAGATTTGAAGGATTGAATTCTGTTCTATTTCATCTTCTTCTTTATTCAGTGCTGTGTCGATACCACGATGTTCCGTTGTTTGAAAAGTCCTGGATAGAAAGTCTACATTTTGGTGTTGTTCTGCTTTCCGATGTTTGATGTTGTATTCAAATCCTCTGAGGAAAACTGCATAGCGTAAAAGTCGACCAGCTGTCATTGGAGGAACATTCTTTGGGTGAAATATTCGTGTGAGTGGTTGGTTATCTGTGATCAATTCAAACTTTCTTCCATAGAGGTAGTTGAAAAATTTTCCAATAGAAAATACAATAGCGAGTGCTTCGCGATCAAGTTGGCTGTATTGGGACTCTGATTTTGAAAGTGAGCGGGAGACAAATGCAATGGGCCTTTCTTCTCCATTGATAATGTGTGATAGTACTCCTGAGATCCCATGTGGGCTTGCATCGCAGGCTACGGATACTGGAAGGTCCGGGTCAAAAGGAACTACCACTCTATCTGAGGCTATTTCCTTCTTGATGTTGATGAACGCTTTCTCACAATCTTTTGTCCAGTTGAATGGTTTATTCTTGATGAGTAACTGGCGTAGAGGGTAAGTTATGGTAGAAGCTGCTGGAATGAATTTTGAATAATAAGTTACAAGTCCTAGAAACTTTCTCACTTCCTCTACTGAATTTGGTCTTTGAATATTGAGGATATTTGACACTTTTGCTGGAGACTTGGATATCTTGTTGTTTTCAATAACATATCCTAAGTATGTGATGCTTTCTTGGAAGAATGTGCATTTATTTCTGTTGAGGTGAAGATTGTTGGTTTGAAGTCGCTCCAGACAAGCTACAAGGTTGTTGAAACATTCATCCAAAGTTGAACCGTAGACAATTATGTCGTCAAAGTAAGAGCTGACACCTGGAAGGTCTTGTAGAACTTGTTCCATTACTTTTTGAAATATGCTGGGTGCAGTCTTGATTCCAAAAGACAATCTGTTGACTTTGTAAGTACCTTTATGGGTTGATATTGTTTGAACACAAGCACTTTCTTCATCGACACCTATGTGTAGGTAAGCTTTAAAGAGGTCGAGAGTACAGAAAAACTTGGCGTTTCTCAGTTTGTGGAGTGTTTCGTCGATCCTAGGAATCGGATAGTGTGAATCGTAGAGTTGAGGGTTGACTGTGACTTTATAGTCTGCGCATAGCCTAAGTGTACCATCAGGCTTAGGCACTACAACTAAGGGTGAACCCCAGTCGCATGATTCGATTTTAGTGATGATTTTGTCTTGTTCGAGTTTGTCAAGATCATGTCCCACTCTATCCCGGAGTGCATACGGTAAAGGTCTAGGTTTGAAAAATACTGGTTTGGATTGAGGTCTTAACTTTAGAGAGCAGGTGACATTAGGAATATGTCCTATTTCTGGTGAAAATATTTCTGGAAATTTTGATTCTACTGCAGTAACTAGTTTGTCTGTGTCACTGGAAACTAAGTTTACATAAGTACCGGTATCTTTTGGTCTCTGGGTGTCAAGATCGTTCAAGTGGACTCCAAGTTGTCTTATCCAAGTCCTACCTAGTAGAGGGCTGTACATGTCAGGAACTACAAACAACTGCTGTGTAGATGAGCGTCCATTGTATTCAACCTGAACATTAACTAAGCCTAAGGGTTGGAAAACCTCATTTGTGTAAGAACGAAACCTTATATTTGTATTCTGGATTGTGTTTTGAGGAAGATTAAGTCTATCAAATTGAGCCTTTGGTAGAAGGGTATGAGCTGCGCCTGAATCCACCTCAAACTTTTGTGGTTTCCCATTGATTAGAATAGTTGTGAAAAATTTTTCTGTGTCTGATGAATTGTAGTCAGATACATTGAGAATTTGAAGTTGCCCTATTCCATAAAGTGAGTTTAAGTCCTGTGAATCATTTGGAGTAGTACTTATTGTATTAACTGTAGGCCTGGATTTCTTAGAGAGTAGAGTTGATATACAGACCTTGGCTATGTGTCCATCCTTGTCACAGCTTTGGCAGTGAAGGCGTGATATGTTGGTTTTACATTCCCTGGACGTGTGATTTGCTTTACCACATCTTAAACACAGGTTTCCAATTCCAAGTGTTGCCAAATCAACCTTATTTCGTCTTGTGGAAGGGTGATTTAGTCTGTTGTTAGATCTGTTGTTGAGGTAGGCTGTCCTTCTTGGTGTGTAATTCTGGTGTGTTGGTCTTGTCACTAATTTGTTGACTTCCGCCTGTGACGATGTTTGAGGACTAGAAAAGTTGTTCAGAGTTGCACTGTCTATTTTTGAAGCTTCAATTGCTATTGCCTTTTCTACGGCAATGTCAAATGTTAAGTCCTTGGTCTGGATTAATTGTTCTCTAATTGAAGAGTCATGAATTCCTCTGATAAACTGTGATCTTAAGAATAAGTCAGATACAGATGCTTCACATGATGTACAGGTAAGTTTGCAAGTTGCAATTTGTTTCCTAAGAGCTGTTACATAGTCTGTTATTGATTCATTTTGTGCCTGGATTCTGGATAAAAACTTATGCTGTTCTACAATTTCATTGGTTTTTGGAAAGTAATTGTCTAATAATTTTGTAATTTCATCATAGGTTTGCTCATTAATACTTTTTGGAGCTGAGAGTGAAGATAAAAGGTCATATGTTTTAGAACCTACACTATTGAGAAAAAGCTGGGCACAAATAGTTTTATCATCAAAAGCATTCTTTATCTTTAGGTAATTTTCAAATCTTTCTTTGTATAGTTGAAAAGTTTCTTTGTTTGAGTCAAATTGTTCGAAATTGGAAATTAATGTGATGTTGGATTGTTGAGTCTTTGACATACCTTGAATAGCTGAAGACAAGGTCTTGATTAATATTTCAAACTGTTCTTGGTTCATTTAGAAAAAATATATAAAATAAACTTTAAAACAAATAGAAAACACGTTAGG